AACTCCTCCAGTTGTGAATAACAACCCAATTTTATTTTTTTTACCACTACCAAGTAGCCCTTGAAATCTAGCGTGTTTTTAAGGAAAATATCGTGTTGATTCCTTCAGAAAAAAAGGTGTTCTATTAATGTCCCTACTTATTTCCCCCTTTTTTGTTCTTTTTTTTTTTCTTCCAAGTAATTCATCCATCCTCCACTCTTGTGTGCACGTGTAGCCCTTCAGCAGCGAATTTTTTGTTTTTTAATTCATAAACATGAAATATGGTTTCATTTCACGTGCTTAAAAGTGAAAACAAACATCGAAACCAAGCTTATGATTAATCTTTCTTTTTATATTGAAAAAATGCAGTCCTTTCTCAATTTATGGACGGAAAATCAAATCATTAATTCCATCCCAATTAGCATTTAAAGAATTGCATTAAAATAGAAGTCCTTTGCAACGTTTTTTAATTCATAGTTGTTTCGAGATTCATTATAGCTATTTTCTCGAATGAACTCATCTATATAAGTCTCGTCTATCTCACCAGCAGCAAGCCCATTCTCATTCAGGTCACTTGAAAGTGTTCATAGCACAAAACCTAAATTGGAAAACCTTCCACCTCCAGCACTATAATTATTAGTCCTATCTAATTCTATTAAAGATCGAGGACGTGTTTGCGAGGGTTTCTAGTAGCAAATCTTCTCCAAAAAGATGACCACAAATATTAAACACGAGAAGAGTTTCACGACGAACAAAAAACTAATTTCTTGAATTGTTTGAAGTCGCAGAATTCCAAGTACAGCTTTTGAAAATGTTTCATCTCTCGTTTAACTCCAAAGATCTTCTGAACTTTTCTATAAATTTGTAAACGTATAAAACTTTCTGAACTTGTTTTTACTTGTTTTTCGAAATATAAAGATTGATTTTTTTTTTTATTCTCTTCCCATGATTGCTTAAAAACTATCAATTTTTGGATGATTAAGTTGCTCTTGTTTGCAAATAAGATAGTTATGGCAATGAAAATCAAAGCCAATAAAAGATTTTCTGATGTGGGTATGCATATCTTTTATTCTAAAGTAAAAGAAGATAGATAGAGAAAGAAAGAGAAAAGATGAAGAATCGATTAGACACGTGAAATCAGTGTTTGTCTTTCAAAGACATTTTAGGAACAAAAAATTAACATGTGCAGCTCCCATAATTCATTGGAGTGGGTTGGCTTAAAAAATTCATTTGAAAAATAGATTATACACTGTATATAAATTTAAGGATAAAATCGATTCATTTCAAGATATAAAAACAAATTGAAAAATGTTATATTATATAATATGCATTAATTCACATAAAAACATTGTAATCTGTATTTGATAATACAAAATGCATTACCGAGTGATACAACGATTTTTTTAAAAAAAACTCCTTTTCCCATAATTAAAAATAAAAAATAAAATAGTAAATGACTTACCTTTTCCCAAGCTTTTCTACGGGAAATTTTATTTTATTAAATAATAGCATAGTACTATCAATATATGAAGTGTTATTTGAAGTTTTTTTTTTTTTTCGCATAGTTATAATAAAATTTACGGATAGTTCTCTTTTGATTACTAGTAATATTGAGACATCCTTTTTTTCCCAATCAATAATTATAACTTTTAATTTTGTGTTTAACTTAAGTTAAAACAGGCTTGTTTAAATTATAAAGTCCTTTAACATGAATCATTGACTTATCGAAAAAAGAACAATAAAAATAAAATTCCATCATAAATCTAACATACAAAATGCATCATTGTGTGTTCATCTTAGTCTTTTACTAGTTGGTTGCCCATGTTATGTTGTAGATCGAGCGGGATATATAAAATTATTTCAAAATAATTTTCATGTAATAACATGTATTATATTGCAAGTCTGCTAAAATATATTTAATTAAAGGTAAAAAAATATATAATTTTATAAGTTATTCTTCTTTATACTTTTTATAAAATTTTTAGTTAAAAAATACAATTTGTTATTTTTCATGTATTGATTTTTAAATAAGAACTTGCAATAATTTATATAAAATATTTAATCCAAGATTATAAAAAATGCCTTAATAATTTTTTCATAAGTTGCATCGAAAAAATAAAGCAACGAGTTAATATACAAACTAGCATAACAATTAACAAATGGATATATTTTTCATCCTTACTTAATTGCGATGAAAAGATTCTTTTTTAAAAAATATGGACATTTAATTTATATATATTTATTCACAAAATAATCAATAATATTAGTATAAAATGTTGTATTTGAATCATTGGATGGTTCTCCTAAAATATTATTTTAATTCAAAGAAATTGATTTAGAATTTTTTTAAAAATAATAACATATAGTTAGTGTTACATGTGTAGATGCAAAGTTAAGAAAATATAAATTTTTGGATTTGGAAAGTATATATATATTGTTTTTTTTAAAAGATTAAACTCGTATAACATGGACAACTAAAGTTATAGTGTATATATATATATATATATATATATATATATATATATATATAATTCACCCTCATTACATGTAGCGTGCTAAACTACGAATTATGTTTACATCGGTCTTCACAACTTAACATACTACATATTGTATTTGTCTTCTCCTTTTTTAAGTATCTAAAAAAGCACAATAGGTCATCCACAATCATCGTGAGCGTACTAAAAAATCATACTTGGTTATGTGTAGCATACTAAATTACGAATCACGTTCATATCGGTCTTCACAACTTAACATGTTACATGTTGTATTTGTCTTCTTCTTTTTAAGTATCGAAAAAAGCTAGATAAATCATCCACGATCATTGTGAGGTTATTCTTTCCAATTCTATTTATTTTTTATTGCACCATACATAGTTACACAAACATTTTTGTCGACAAGGCTATCAATGCATGAGCTAAATGTATATGCTAGATATTTTAATTTATTAATTTAACTAAATTTTATTCTATATTAATTCATGTTATTTTTCTTTAATTTTTACATGGATCCAAATTGCACGACAAATAAATTGAACTAAGAATGGACCTTACTCAACACAAGGTTTTGGATCGTAAGAATAGACATAAGTATTCGACGAGGCGAGTGTACATGTATTGTATTTAGAATGCATTAGAAAGATTGACTTGGTGGAGTTGGAGCGAGGGACTGCAAAAGAAATGCTCGAGTTGTTATTTTATTTAACATTTGTTAGCAAGTTGAAGTAGTTTGGTTCAAAATACTTAAATCTTTCGAGCCAAATCGACTATCCAATCTTAGATGACGTGACATGGCCTTAGCAAGTCAAGGATTATATTATTTCACTATAAATATCAATGTCATATCATTGTTTTAGGATCAAAACTTTTGGCATCATAGGAACTTTTATATTGGAAAATTTTTGATCTCTAGTAAGAGAAAATCTTAAACTCTCAATCCAAAAACTTTTATACTCACATATCAAATAATACTTAAGACTCTACTTGTTTAAAATTTGACCTCTTGTTGCCTGCTCTTTCTCTCACGCTTCTCATTATTTGCATTTTTTATGCTTGATTAGATGACCGCTGCTTTTATAAATCATAAGACCAGCTCTCTACATCTTAACTAATGCGCCGACTAATCGTTTAATTAGCTTTGAAGAGCCATTTTTACAAATCCACATCAATTTAGTGAAACTAGAAGAATAAAAAATAAATTAAGAAAAGAAACAAATTTTTTCAACCACTTGGTCTATCCATTGAATTTTTTTGCAACCAACTGTTAAAACTACATAAATTCATCTCCTGAAAAAAAAAAAAAAAAAAAGGAAAAAGAAACGTAGGCATAAAATCTACCATTTCTCACAGCAGGACTTCCTATTATTTCCTACCCCTAGGCAAAAGGAGCTGTTTAATACGGAGCCAGTAACGTGGCAATTATAATTAGGCATCGAGAGATGTGTACGTACTAACTAAGCTTATAAATGCAGTACTGATCATCAGAAGAACTAATGAGCAATAAAATAAATAAAACGAGAGCGTGATGAGAAGGGAAAAGTGGTGCGCATAAATTCTCACGTGTGTTCTTCTAGTTTGTGTTAGTCACTTTTCGGCTTGGCTTCTAAGCATGTGGAGGCGGGCCCCAAAGGAGAACAGAGGCATGTTATGGGCACATGCTTAACGGCCCTGTTATGACCCACTTGCTTGCAATCGCACATGGAATACGGATAACTAGGACCCCACAATTATAACTATGACTGCCCCATTTGTCTGTACCATATCCTCTACTTCCTACCCAAACTGGTTAGTTGCAAACTGGATTTTTTTCTCTGTTTCCTTTAATTAAACATATTATAGTTTCGGTTTTCATATACCGTGATTATTATTATTGTTATTATTTTCAATCGAGTTTTATGCAGGCATCTATTCTCATAATGATGCATTTTCTTGTGAAGAAATCCACTTATCAATCAAGATAAATTTCAAAGTGTTTTTTTTTTAAATAAAAACATCTTATTATTTTTCCAGTTTAATTACCATTGCCAAATACATATGACTACGTACGTGTGGCAAATAGCAAGCCAAAACATAAACGATTAGCCTCTGGATGGCGACAAAATACAAGTAGAAGGATTAAAAGTACAACCACGATGCTACACCGCAATTTTTTCTGTTTTTGGCAGAAATAAAAATTTTATCTTGTTCTATATAGCTGATGGAACCAAAATTTATGAGACGAAGCCAAAGGCCCTACGTGTTTCTTTTTGATAAAGGGTACTTGTGACATTTGGTAATAACAGGAAGAAAGTTTCAGTTTCTTGTTACGTATAATACTGCTGAGAAACCATATCTTATGATTTTTTCCTCTTCTGTTCCAAGAAAGAAATACGTACTGTGCAATAAATTCAGCCAACAGATTGCCCCAACGGGCAATTGCCTATAAATACCATTACTTTCCACCGTAGCTCGACACAAACACACTTTCTTTTCCATCCCACTCCTAGCTTACTGTTATTAAACTTTTAGTTTCTCTTCCCCAAGAAAATGGGCAAATTCAGCATTGCCATTTTATTATGCTTTCTGCTGGTGCTTGTTCTACTTGGACAAAACCAGGTAAGGATCCACAATACTGTCTCTCTTGTCCTTCAACAAATTTTTACTTCAAAATTGCATCAATGTTAATGATCATATTGAACTGGATCAATGTCTAGGCTTTTAAAACACCAATCTCAGCTTCACAGCCACAACGCCAAGGCAACCATGCTACGGTGAGACTACGATTATCACTTGAAAAATTTAATGATATTATAGTAACTCAATGCTGACTCCTTTTTCGGTATTGCAGTATGGTGCCACTCAAGGCAGCCTTCGTCCTCAGGGTGAGTTACCTTTGTTTTTTTGCTTTTTTGATTTCCAACTTTTTTTAAAAAAGAAACAAATAAAACAAGAGAGCGGACCTTGGTGCAATCCTAAGATTTTTTTTTTAATTAAAATTGGGAGGTTAGACCATTTAGGAAGGTAAAACAAGAAAACGTGAGGTATGATCCCCTAATCTAATGGATCACATTTTTTTTTAACCTTATATTTATTTATTTATTATTATTATTATTTTTTTATGTAAGATGAAACAATTTTTTTCTTTGTATTTTGAAAATAGAAAATATATATATATATAGGTGGTGGGCAAGCCCAAGCCCAAGCCCAAGCCCATCTCATATTAATCGAGGTTAACCGATGTGAGCTGGTTGTGGTGTGTTGATTTTAGTTGGAAAAACTGGTGCTGATTCGTGAATTGTTGTGGGCAGAATGTGCACCGAGGTGCACCACTAGGTGTTCAGCGACGGCATACAAGAAGCCATGCCTGTTTTTCTGTCAAAAATGCTGTGCGAAGTGCTTGTGTGTGCCTCCTGGAACGTATGGGAACAAACAGTCTTGCCCTTGCTACAACAACTGGAAGACCAAGAGAGGAGGCCCCAAATGCCCTTGAAAGTTCATGTTTCTACTGGATCGTCTCCTTCCAGCTGCTGCTTAATTTATTACTACTAGTCTTTGCTGTATATGTAGTAATGTAACCAGTTAACAAGCCATTTCCCTTTCTGTCATAAACTCTATTAGCATGCAATTCTTAGTTCTTATCGTATCTCATGACAATTATATGTAGCCTGGTTGGAAATGTTTTCAGAGGTCGATATCTTTCTATATGTTTTTGTCTTTTTTTTTTTTACGAAAACAAAAATGCTAAATATATTTTCAAATCAACTTCAATTAATAATAAGAACTTGTGAGATGAAAGAGAAAAGGAAATAGGGGAAGCTAGGAAAGTTGAAGGGAATATCTCCACCAAATTATAATTAGAACAAATTGAAACTCACCGATCAAAATTTACAATTACTTTATTGGGTCCTTTATTCAATTAATAGTAATAATCAATGTATAAGAGAGGAAAAGAGGAAATTATTTGAAGTCCATACATTCCACATTAATGTAGTTAAACTTCAAGAGTTAGAATACTTTTTTGTATTTTTAGAGGTAAATGACTCAATCTATTCTAACATAATTGATGAAATCTTTAATTTGTTTTTATATTTCTAATCATGTCTTTGTACACTATTTAATTTTCTAATATGTTTTTCTATATAACTTGACATAATTATATTTTTAAAAATTACTATATTGATTTATATAAGAATATAATTTTATTTTTTTAAAAATAAAATCTATGTTTTTTAAAATTTAAATGGTTGATTAATTTTGAAATTTTTTATTTTTTAAAAATATTATGAGTAATTATGAGAAAATTTTCTATTACATTCTTATATAACTAAAGGGCAATTTCTGAATGAAAAGTATAATTTTGTCAATTTGATAGAAAAAAATTGATGCAAGGACATATTAAAAAATTAGATAATATATAACGGCATAATAAATATGATTAGAAATGTTAGGACGTACCAAAGACTTATCTAATTAACAAGGATAAATTGAGTTATTTATCTTGTTTTTAATTAATTTTTTTTGGCATGTCTTTATACTAACTGGACTAACTTACACGAACTATTAGTACCTAGCTAGTAAATATCTATGAATTATTTAGCAAATTAACATCGATTAAAAGGGATGAAATCAATGAGAAGAAAGAGGGATTTGCTCTTCCAAGCCACGAGTCACCTTAGGCGATTAAGTTTCATTTCCTTCTTTTCTTTTACATAGGCTTTGATTTATTTCTAAATATTCCAAAAGGAACTTGAGAGGCGAAAAGAAGATTTTCTGTTTTCAAAGAAAGCATTTTGTTGATATAGGGGAGTAAAGGTAATCAGTAACCGATGCGAATGAATGCGACGATTTCAGGGTGCTGTAACAGACACCACTTCATCATCAGTCCCAACTTTGAATCTGTTTTTCTGTGCAAAAATCCAAAATCATTCATTTCAAGATCTCCAGTTTTCAACAACTATCTAACAACTCCGCATATTTATTTCCATTTGTCACCATGCTTTTAAACTCATACAGTCTCGAAATGGAAAATAAACGTGAACCTGTAGGAAAGTAATAGCTGAAAGGCCTATTTTCCTCCAAACCTTCTTTCTCTCTCTCTATATATATTGAACCCGGTCATGCCACAACCAATATTCAAAATCAAACCTCGAGACAGCTTATGAGAGAAATGGCAAGCACTAATACTCATGCACTGGCCTTGGCATTGTTGGTGGTTGTTGGAGCGCAATTTTTGGGTGACCACAAGGTCTCAGCCCAGTGCGGAGGTAGCATTGTTGACATCGAAACCCAATGCTATCAATTCGTCAAAAAAGAAGGGGAAAGAATTCCTCCCTCTCCCGGTTGTTGTCAAGCGGTGACGAAATTAAACATCCCTTGTGTTTGCGAATTTGTTACACCAACGGTGGAAGCGATGGTTAGCATGGAGAAGGTGGTCTATGTTGCTCGAACTTGCGGTATTACGATCCAACCTGGAATGAAATGCGGAAGTAAGTCTAATATTAAATATATAGTATAATTTTCCTATCAATTTTTTCTTCTTGTTTTGCTGGTTTAAATTTCTTGCAAATGTTAATATTTCTAAGGTCAAGATCGATGTTTTTTTTTTTTTTTTTACAGGTTACATCGTTCCTCCTCCAGTTTGAGACGAAGAATATGTAGGAGGGGATTGCTGTGTGACATGCCTGAAATTTAGTAACTAAAGCCCTTTCAATAAGCCTGGCTGGATGTGTGACACAATCATTTTGATTTTAATGTCAAAAGCATTTCCTATCATAAATTAATGTAAAATTTCATATTAAATTGTCGAATTTTCAGTTCTTATTGCCTATAATTGCTTGCAAAAGATTGAAATAATTGACATAAATCGATTATTCTCCTTATGTAAATTTGTTAAAAACGAATGTAAAGATAAATAGTTTGGAGGAATCAACTGCTCGATTAATTAAAGAGCAAACATGACAGTTATATAGCCTTACAAAACAAACAAAAAACTAGTTCAACCAGAACTCAATCCCTTAAAAATAGGGATTTATTAAGTAGAAAAACTAACAACAAATCCTAACAACCTAAGCAAAAACAAATACTAAAAATTTCTCCCTTAAATTGAACGCTCAATCCCTTAAACAGGGAAAAGAAAAGTAAACTCTCTGAAGCTTTTTTTTTTTTTTTTCCCTTCGTAATATGAATGTCTTGAGAGAGATCATCCATTCCCATATGCAAGTTATAATCAATCCCAACATCTAAGAATCTTAAAGTAAATTATAAAATAGTCTCTCTAGTTTTGCAAAACAAATTAATCACTCTTTCTGGTTTTTAAAATTAATTAATTATTTTCTTTTGTATATTTTATGTTATTTTCTAAATTATTTAGTTTTCTAAAATACTAGAAATAATAAAAAAATTAATAAGAAAAGAGAACTTTTTTAAAAACAAATTACTATTAAATTTAAATATTATCAACACTGTAACAGCACTAACAAATTAGTTTTTAAAATTAAAAAATTATCTTGCAAAACTAAAAAGACTAATTTATATTTCACTCGAGAATCTTATCATTGAATCAATGGTACTAAATACTAACATATTAGAAATGAGAATTGGCGGACTAATTTTTTACATTACCGAAATAAATGATATTAATATATTCTTCTTCTTTTAATGATAGGGTTTTGATTCGATGATTTCATTGTCAGGTCATGTCGTAGAGGCAGAAAGAGAGATAAGGCTTTCATAAGTTCTTGAATTTTTGATTATATAAAGAATAAGCAAATAAAATACATGAATTTTATCTTTTAGTTGATTATTTATTTAAAAAACTTATTTTAAAATTCACACAAACACACATATATATTAATAAATAAAATTATATAAAACAATAAAAATTAATTTGATAAGAATTTTCATAACAGCTACAATGAAAATTCCTACGTGGGTCACTTTGCTTGTAAGGCAGGGATTGGTAGGTAACAATTTCATCAATCAAAAAAGAAAGTGAGAAAGAAAAGAAACGATGATTGCTTGCAAAAACATTTTGCCCCGAGATATCCTATAGCAATTATCCACGGGTGCTTGCTGACGTGGAATTATTCAATTTTTTTCTTTTTTTCAGCAATGTATGTTCATTTTTTAATTATTGAATTAAATGCGTAAATTATGAAAAACCAATCATTTTTTTTCATATAGACAAACAATTATGAAATATATAGAATATGTTTTCAGATTTTAAAATGAATACATGTATTAGATTATATTATTCTTATTTTTTAAAATTGATTTATTTAATTTATTATTTTTTATAAAAATTATCATCAAATTAAGTTATTATTTTTAATGTAATTTTATCTCTCAATAAATATGATTTATTTTTCTTTATGTATAAATTTTCGAATAATGTTTTTTCTTAAAATAAATAATCAATTCAAAAATAAAATTCATGTGTTTTATTTATTTATTCTTTATATAATCAAATTTGTGGTTATTTTTTATTATATTTCATTAGCCTCAATATATTCCTTAGAGAGAAAATATATATTTTTTTAATTATTATTATTATTATTAGTGAGAAAATATAGTTTTTATTTTTTTCAATTAATTATTCTAACTTATAACTTATCCAAAATTAAAAAAATAATAATATTAAACAACCAATTAGTGCATATATAGTGTAATTGCGTTTGCAAGTGGTGTAAAATTTTTAGTTTTAATTAAGATCAAAGTCAAGGATCAAAATGTTTGTAAAAGTTAGGCATACTGACAATTGATAATTGAAAATTTGTCTGCTCTTACAAATGGTAGTGCTTGTGAGATTTTTCATTGTAGGATTCGAATCCAAGAAAGAAAAGTTTACTAATAATTGGAGCGACATGTGATAAATTAATTAATATGTATCCCATCCAATAGAAAACATGGAATTGGAAATTAATTATAAGATATAATAAGAATAAGGGATCCCGAATTTGGCTCTTCAGTCTCCTCTTCATGAGTGAGCTACCTGAGGTAGGTATTGATTTAATCATAAACAATATCCAAACCATGTAACTTTTTTTTTTTTTTTTTTTAATTATGCTTTTCCCAGGTTACACCGACGTTCCTCCTAGCATGCTTTTTGTGTGAGACAATGGAGGAGGACAGCTCTAGCAGTATAATCGCTTTCTCGAATAAACAAAATTATTTCAAATGAAAGATTGGGATTTCAATCTTAATTAGCATTCCAAACTACTACTGATCTTATATTTGTTTCAATTTTCGCCGGTACCCCCACATCCATGAGATTTAATTTGTAAAATGATCCAATTGAGTCCCATATTGCTTATAGAACAATTTTGCATGAAATTGAAGCTGCATATATTGTTTGTCTTGAGCTTTTCACTCGCACACGTGCGAAACTTTAATTATTATCTTTGTTTTAAATGTTGAGATGCATACCTCACTCAGGTTTTTTTTAACGATTAGATATAGGACTTGAATTTTGCATATAGCAACAAGCATAAACGCAAGGGCTTTATGGCTTTATGTGAATTATGGAGTTTTTTTTTTTTTTCTTTTTCTTGAAAGAAATAGTTGAAAGTGGAGGAGTTTTATTTATAAAATGAAGGAGGTTAAATATGTCAATTAAAATATCTATTCTAAATGAGAATAAATGAAAAATACGAATACAATGTGATGCAATTTGTAACGTCACTCAAAATTGTTTTTGTCTCCCGCGTGCAAATGCATAAACCTAACCAATCACCCACCATGGGAAGACTCGAAAACAGAGTTTGATAGCCCAGTTCATGAACGGACTACATACATTTTCCTGCTTCCAAAGTTGAAATCTGTCCATAGCTGAGCCCAATTTCTGGATTACAAAGCTGGGCTAATCATTTCAATCCCCCTTTTTAAGCTTGCTTCTTTATACTCGTTGGATCCCTCCAAGTCCAGTAGAACTTTCATCCCTCAAATTGGCAGCTTGTTATTTGCTTCCTTCCTTGCTTGGTTGCAGCTCTTTTTCATCCAAGGAGGTCACAACTCACAAATATTTAAAAGCTAAGCTTCAAAAGAATTAGATTTATGCAAGGGAAAAAAAAAAACAATTGGAATGGTTCTAAAACACTTGTAATTTGCAATCAGCATTGCTTGTCAAGAAACCAAAAGGCATGAATTCTAATCCTAATCGTGAAGTGTGAACGCACCTCACCTCTGGGCTCATACACGAAACGAGTTCAGTTACTTGGAAGGCACCACGGTGACTTGCAAAGCTGTATTTGCTTGGTTTCATCAGTTCATAAATACTCGAGTACTATCAAACAACTACCTACGTCCATGAAATTGACATTTTGTCATCTTCCATCCCTACTTTCCATTTGACAAATCAACAAAGCAAAGTAATAGACCTGCCCTTTTTCGAGCAGACTTCTCTCCCTATCCTTTCTCTCTTTCTTTTGCAAGATGATTTCATTCCCAATTCCCCCGTTTGTTTGAAAGAAAAGGATCAGCTCAAGGATTACAAAAACAGGATCAGAAAATTTCCTTGCTAAAACACCAACATGCACGCTCATGTATCAAAGATTAAGCCAGCCACATAGAGAACCGATGATCCAAAAGGCGGTGCAGCGTCTGTTTGCACTTACTAAAAAATATATATATTTCTTGCAAGCATCGTTACTTTTGTAATGGATTCAAAACACAAAATAAAGACTGAAATAGAGTGAAAATTTCTTTTTCTTTTTCTTTTTTTATCTTCCAATGCAGATATACAGATAAATCATCGCATGATGGTGAAGCATGACGGAAGAGGTTACATTTTATGCCTGTTATAGGAATTGTGGAGATCCATCATATTTGATATGAAGATGAGAAACAGAAGGCGTCGATGGAATATACAAGCTTGACCCTTAAATTTGGGTTCGACTTGATGCAAAAAGAGAAGGGGGGCAAAAAAAGATAGGAGAATCTTGAGAGCTATTGAAAGAGCTTTCATATCATTCTAGTCAGTATGTATTTTCAAGAGAACAAATTTCTTCCATACAAAAAGGAAAAACAAGAAAGCTCTTAACACGAAGTGATCAGCCTTAAGGCTCTTACTTCCTACACCTTCATGCTGAAACCGAAAAAAGAGGAGGAGAATCTTGAGCTACTGAAAGAGCTTTCATATCATTCTAGTTAGTATGTATTTTCAAGAGAACAAATTTCTTCCATACAAAGAAGAAGAACAAGAAAGCTCTTAACACCAAGTGATCGGCCTTAGGCTCTTACTTCCTACACCTCCATGCTGAAACTGAAAAAAGAGGTCGATCTTGCCAGCATATCACTACACTTCCATTTTCTTCTATCATTCTATACCCATCGCAACCATAACCTTGCAACAACCTTCTTGCCTGCAACATACCATAGTAGCTCAAAGACGCATTTCCAAACCCAGCCAAATCAAGCCTTTGGATCCACTTCTCGAGTTTTTCATGTCTTTCCTTCCTTGCAGCTCCCTCGCATGCTATAATGTTCTTTATTTCCTCTCCGAAAAGCATTTTCTCCACCTTCAATCTTTCCATTGATGTTCTAGATACATTAGATTCCAAACAATCAAATAAAGCGGCATATGAGTATAGAGCTTCCAATAGCCTCTCCATAAGAGTTGATCCATTGTGGTTAGAATCTTGTTCCGTTATCACCATCAGCTTGGGTGATAAACCCCAAAGGGAGTTAAGGAAGTAATCCATCTTCACTGAAGCAGTTGAAGATAGAGGTGATGACGAGGCGGAGTCAGGACTTGGGCTATATCCATTAGCCGTATCTTTCTCAAGCAACTCCCCTAATGTGCTTGGATTCATTTGAAGGACTCTTTGCAAGTTAATTCCATTTGAATTCTTCAACGTCGGTGGAGATTTCTTCCTCAATTCATCATCAGAGGCCAAAAAAGAATGCAATTGAAGAACTGAACTGATAGCTAGAGCCTCCCCCGTTTTAACACGCAATTTCTCTATATCAAGATTCTCTAATTTGCTAACAATGGGATTGAACTGAAATGGGATATCCAACTTTTCTGCTTCTTCAATTAGCTTATGAGCCATTTGATCTAATACCTCTTTATGCTGATGAATCCCTGTGATTCTCAGATGGGGTGGTCCCTCAGGCCTCGCGCTTAAAGCTTGAAGAAGCGCAATCCACTGAGCAGGTTCGGCTGCGTGAAGATCAATTACATGAACCATCTTCTCCCCTTCCATGGCTTCAATTATAGCTTGATTCGTAAGCACTAAAGCCACTTTCAAGAACGGAAACATCTCATAAAACAGTTTGCGAACTAGGATTTCCTCAGAAACCATAGTTATTTGAGTAGCATTGAGGGCCCTGTCGATACCAGGCCAGGCTTTGACAATCCTACCAGCAAGCGCCTCAGCAAAGTAAGCAGCAATGCGCTGCATGGTATCACCATCAGGAGAGGCTAGATGGGAGATTTGACCAAGGGCAATCTCTGCATTTTCAAGGCTACCGGAGGCAACATGGTTTGCACAAGTGAGCAATAGATGGATCAAATACAAACCCCTCTCCTCTGATTTTAGCTCTTTAACCCAGGGATATGGTGATCCCATGCTAGGTGAAAGTGAAATCATGGAGAAAAATTGGAGAGGTGATGATGTTACAGATGACGATCCATCATCTTGATACATTGGAGAGCCACTAAAATAATCAATGACAACAGCTATGGGTTTAGGGAACCAAGAAAGAATACAAATGAGAACAAAAGGATGGGTTCAAGAAATTCACTTCACAAAGAAAAGCGAAATCAAGGATTTACAAGCATATGACAACTGTTTTTCATGCAGAGAACCAAATTTGCATGATTACAAACTATGAGAAATGATTATTTTCTCTCGGGAAGGACTTCGAAAAATGAACTCACCAATTGCACCAAGAGAACTGAAGGTAAGAGCAAATCCAATGGATCAAACAAACAGAGGATTCTAATGAAATTAGCTACTAACAATTGGTACTCGGCTGAGGAAGATTGAACAAATATATAGAAATCTCAAAAGAAAGCTAAACTAGGATTAAGAAACAAAGACCAATTCAGCTAAATTTCTCAAAGAAAGAACCACAATTGGAAAAATTCCAAAGAACTACTTAAAAACCAGCCAAGAAAACAGAGAGATGGAAAAATCCTTACTGGGTTTTGCAATTGATAAAAAACCCAAATGAAAATTCCAAACCTTTCCTCCTCAAAATCTCTCAATGAAATAAAAGAGCTAGCTTTCTCTGTTTTTCTCTGGTTTTAATTTGTGACAGAGAGAGTCAATTAGTTCCAATTAAACGATCAGAGACTTTTCCATGGCTACGTTGTCGACAATGCGTGAGGGCTACTTTTTGTCGTTTAATGATTTGTTGTCGTTCTCTCCGCAGTGGAATATGGAATTTATGAGAAGGTGAGCCTTTCTTTCTTTCTTTCTCAATAGTCAGTTACTTCCTCTCTCTCTAGAAACTGCCTCCCTCTCTCTCTTTCTCAAAAACCTCCACTTTTATGGCCTTTTGTCTTAACATTGGGTGGCTAGGGAATCAAGTGTGGCCTGAAACACCACAAGTCTATAAAATATTCCTAAAGGTGATAAAAGTCCAAAGATGCCCTGACGAAGACAAACAATGCATGTACTCTGTTTTGTTTCCTAGTGGGGCAAGTAATTGCAAGCAAGAAACAAAGGATGCATCCAAAACTTGGTTTTGTTATCTTGTACAATGCCAATGACCATACAATTGGTATTATCTTTGTTGCATTAAGACAAAGAGACAAGGAGGTTAAGGAAACATCCAAAACTAGATACTACATTTATCTCTTCTTCTCCTTCTATTACGTGGCCGGCGTTTGTGCAATCTCAAGAGCTAACCCAACTACCGTTCAAATTTTCACTTCTCTTTCCTATTCATCGAAATTCTTATTATGTTTTGACTGGCCCTTCCCCCTACCCTACCCTACCCTACCCTACCCTACCTCATGGTCACATCTGATTTTTAAGCCATTTAAAAATTTCTTTTGCTTTTGTTATTAAAATAAATAAATAAATGGTTCCATAGTGTCTGTACTATGCATTAATCATGAATTCCTATTTTGAACTAAAATTTATTCAATTCTAATATCATAATTATTTTTGAATTTATATTTAAATCCTAATTAAATTTTGGATATATTTTTTGAGCATGATATCAACATGATCTAATAATTAAAAAACACAAAGATTTTGTTTTTTATACCATAAAATTACAAATTACCCAGCCTTTAAACTACAACAAAAACAATAAGATTTTTTTAAAAAATCCTAAATCATTTAATCCCTATCTCTCCCTCTTTTTAGATCTAGTTTCCTTCATTTCCCTTTTAACGTTCTCTTACCTCTAAATTCCCATTCATACTTCACTCCCATCTCCTAAGAAAACCCACCAAATGTTTATCTCCTCTTTTCCTTTACTTTTGAATACATGCAAATAACTCAGAACTCTTAAAAAGATCCATGCTTTTGTCATTATCTCTTCTTCTTCTTCTTTTCATCATGCCCGGTCATCATATTAGTTTATTTATTTAAGACAATTCGAGGCAATTTCAGCCCTGGTTACGCCAACAGGATGGTGGGGTGCCAACAAATCTCTTACAAGAGCCTCTTTGTATAATGCCGCAACACAGGTCTTGTTGCTGTATGGGATTCGTGAACATGGCCCCTGCCAATGAAGTCAAATAGCAAAACAAGGCATAAAAACCCCATGGAGTTTTGAATAAAAGGCTGTAGACATGACTGAAGATGTGTTCTATCTGTATTTGGATGAATTTCGAAGTTCTAAAAGATTTTTTTCTTTTGCTTTTTGAATGATTGTCTTTTGTCATATCAAAATATGTTGCTTTTTTTTTTTTTTTTTTTTTAGCATATATGCACTGTACTTATTTAGCTCGCTCAAACATTAGGTACTTTTGTTGAATGGTACACATGATCGAGAGACAAGCGACTTTTCTGCTTCTGGCTTTGTAACTGCCTTAAATCGAAAATATGGAGATCCTGATTCTTGCTTGGAAAGCTTTCTAAGTGTATAGATGGAGTTGTGGTTTTTGACAATCAAGAAGTTACGATGAAAAGATATTCTTCTGTTTTATCTAATGTTTAGAAACAATTCAGAGTCCCCTTCGTCCCTGTTGCTAGAGAAAATTATCATTTTCCACCTGTGTTTGAATTGACAACTCAATTTGCACCCTCTGTTTCCAATTTGGTATTGCATCTAAATTGGTACCAATGCTATCCAATTCAACCCAGTGAATAACTTCTTTTCACAGGTTTGTTAAAATTCAAATATTACCTGACATCCATATTTGTAAAATGCAATATAGGAGTCCCCATCACTTCAGTTTAGAAGCTAACAGGAGCTATGGATTGGGTTGAATCGACGGCATTTGCTCAATTTGGGGTTTGGATTTTATATGTATTTTTATAATACAATGATAGAGGTCCGTAGAAAATTTAGGAGAGAATTTCTTATGATATAGAAGTGTTTGATGAATTTAATTATAAATAAAAAATTGATTATAATATTTGAATTGAAAAAATTTAATTCGAGATAACAGTCTACGATTAAGATATAGTGGAGAATATTATTGAACTAATTAATATTTAAAAAATAGGTGCTCAGTAAATTTCTTCTTCTAAATTATGAGTGTTCTTAAAAAGGACCAGATGCAAGTTTTGATTCTCACTGAATCGTTGGATTCAATCGTCATTATAAGCAAGAAGGTGCCGATAAATCAAGTTTGCATGCCATCTCTTCTCTTCCATGAATTATTTGGATCGAATGGTATCCATGTTCCATTAAAAGAACAGACGAAAACAAAAAGAAATGTGCACGACATGGTTTTCAAACAGCAATAACTTTAGCTCATCGACTTGTCTTCTAGGACAAATATCACAATCAGATTATCTGCACCTCTCTCTCTCATGCTGAAAACCGACAATCTTGAAAATCAATTGCATTGAATTTGGTAAAATCGAATTGCCACGTCTATAACATTTGTCACATCGAAAGTACCTCTACAGTTTCTTTTCAGCAGCTGTTTTCCCTTTCTAACCTTACTTCTCTCCCTCTTTAAAGAAAAAAAATTTGAGAAATCAAAGGTACAAATATTACTAATATTAAAATGCAATTAGAGAAAATCACTAACATTAAAATGCTGCTAATCATAATTTCACATTGTTCGCACCAGAAACAAGTCTTTGCAAGTAGATTGATTCATTGTGAACATGAGTTTTGCCGAAAGTTACGAGAATATAATATATTGCTTTCATGTCAAAAGCTATTGAGCTTTGAAAACTGAAATTTGGCAGCGAATTTTTCAGAATGAATTTGAAAATGAATGAACCTTCACAAATCAATTCAATTCAATGCGGTCTCTTCATGCAAGCTCAATTTTATCCAATGTAGCATAAAATGCATGTGCAATATGCTAGGGCACATGGATCATGACTCATGATACATGCATTTTGTTACCCGTAATATCACAATAATTATTAATTGATTTTTCCAAAAGTAGTGTTGTTTACATTAAACAGTGGATTAGCCAGGGGATTCATGAATCTTGCACCCACTATCTCCCAAGGGAGAAATTTAAACATTACGTGTAGTTCAGAACCTATTAAACAATTTTCGTTCTACTTGATCAAGCCTGAGCCTGACACAGCCTGCTTTGTTGTTGAAATTTACAAGGAAAAAAAAATTATCTCAGCAATCCATTTTCCTAGTATAACTTAAAAGAATAATTAAGACTGAACCATGATGAGTCGTCTTCCACGGTTTTGATAGTCCAGGTAAGAGTGAGTGGTTGAATGGGAACAGATGGAGAAAAGGTTGAAGAGACCAGTCCAAACAGAGCTTGTTGGAGTTGTTTACAAAGGATGAAAGTTCCGGACATTTGTTTTGCTTTCTTAGCTGTCTTTGTCTAATGCAAGTAAGATCGATACATTAAAAGATCCCACATTGAGCACCCCATAAGAAATGAAGAAGAGGACACTTTCGTTTGCCTTTAGACTTTGTTAAGTCCATCAACTCCTAAACTCTAAGGGCCGTAATTGAGTTTTTTATCGACCATATTTGGTTTAAACGAGTAATCGAAGTAAGGATAGAAATCTACATTTTGTTTTAATATAGTTGGTGATTGGACACCATAGTGGTGAAATAAGTGTCTTCCTGGCTGTCAACTTCACATGTTTTATTAGTTCATGGCATAGGCTGCCCAAAAAGATAGATACAGAGAGAAGCTGCTGCTTGTCCTCTTCGATTAAGGTTACTGATTTATTAGTTAAATGACTAACATTGTAAAGGACAGAGGAGATGGAGAGCACGCAGATCCTCTATGACTATATGCTAGTAGTGTTAATTAAAGTAATGTGAAGGGTAGATTGCTTACTTAAAGTTCATAGAATGGGCTCTTGTCCAATCACAGCGCGGTATTACAGCCTCTGACAACATCACAAGATGGGCAAACGTTTCTTGACTGGACTTCTTTATGGGAATGCCAAGTGTGGTTCAATCTATGATGAAGAATGAAGCACTCCCATGGTGAAGCCTATTATTTAATGCGGTTCAGGTTACATGACAAAGGACCCTGATTTGATTCCTTAGTTGAGTTCTTAGGGCATTTCTCTTAAAGAATTCTTAAGGGAAGTAAAACAGAACTTCCCCTCCAACGTTAAAATTTAACCTCCTTAACAATTCCAACTCTATACCTGATGAGGAGAGAGAGTGTGTGCATGTGTTAGTGAAGAAGGGTCCAACACGTTTCCAACTTGCAGGATGATTGGTTGCCACATGAGGCCAATTTCGAGAGCAAGACATTCAATCAGCATCACCTGCCAAAAATTAGACATCAATTTAATCAGAACTGACAGCCTAACTAGTGTCTGGAATGCGTTATAAAGGGCCACCAGGGAAGAAGGAGAAGGAAATGGAGGAGCACAGAAAGATCTATCCAGAGGAATCTGAGATTCTGATAAGTTTGGTAACGCATGCAAGTTTTTTCCATATACCCCAGTCCTTGTCTCCAAGACTTCTCAGCCTTACAATTTTTTTTCCCTCAAAATGGAACAGGTACCGTTGCACATACCTATTGTCAGTCCCTCTTTAGGGACCATCATAGATAACAATTAGACTCAGCAAATGAATGTGAACATTGCTCTACTAATTCTGCTACTTGAAGAACCAAATGCTAATATACGAAAAAGATGATATCGCAAAGCACAAATAATAATGGCACCCTACAGTCAAGCTGATCTCTATAACACAAAAAAGGTCATACGGACCCAGAGATGTTCTTGGGTATTATTTTTCTTCTACTTGATACGAAGAAATCAACATAACATAAAGATTACCTCTGTTAGAATGTTCTCTGAGCTCAGCAAGGGCAACTGCAATCTTAGCACCAACAAGAGCATTATTTTTTACAAGGGCGATGTCTAAACTTCAGTTAAGATCAACTTTCCAAAATCACGATAACAGTGAAAATTATGAAAATGATTAGAACAAGATTATCTAAATGTCAAGTCCATGACCACAAAATAAAACTTCCAAAATTTGAATATCAGGTGTTAAGAACAAGAGAAAGGATACTGGATGCCAGTGAGGCTCCTCCAGTGAGTTCGTTCACTTTTGCAAGCAAGAATGGAGTTTCAGCATTGCCGGTTATATTCTTGTCCCTATGGATCCAATTCCATTTACGTAAAACTTAAAGCCAAATATATAACAGGGAACAAAAAGAATTTGAAAATTAAATGAAGCGAAAAAAGTTTCCAACCTAGCTTCTCTAAGGGCACTTTGTATAGCAGACTCAATTAAGCCTCCAGAAGCAGAGTGTTCCTTAGGGATTGGAACTGCGATCAGAATTCCAGTTCCAAGCTTAACTTTCAAGTTCACATCTGCAATTAACAAAGAAAGGAAAGCACAATGACTCATAATCCTTCTCATTCTCATATGGGTTGGGGGTGGAAAAACAGTGAGATGACCAAATTTCTTCACTCGCCTATTAGCCGAGCACAGTCCTCTGGGGTGTCTACGCGACAATGTACCTATATATTTCTCATAAATCAAACAGAAAAAAATCATCAGATTAGATGAAATCGCATGTTAAATCAAAACTTGCAGACACATGTACTAGTGCAGTGTAAAATCAACATTCTACCAGTTAAAATTTTTAAGTACAAGCTTTTTCATGAAAGCAAGATCATTTTCAGATAAATTTGTCTTTTTTGAGTTTCTCTTGCACAGAGCCTTGCTAAGATTTATCAATCTTCTTTGGGTTCGTCTTGTGTACACCCCATGTGACCATGTCCCAGGTTCTGCTCCTTGAAAATTTCGGTAAATTTGAATCTATGTAGACCAAAGTAGCCTCAAATATTGGTAGAGTGGACTCTGCTATTGTAACCGGTAGATGCAGAGAGCACAACCTATATGGTTGATTTGGTCCATGTAAACCATTTTATGTACCTTTGTAAAAACATTTGAACCATTGCTTATATATCAGATTGAAAGCAACAGCAAACTTCAAGGGACCATAACATGGTGTGGAGTTTTTATCATCAGACATAACGTTAGGGAATGTTGTTGAGTGGTGCAATCCTAGAACATTGGTTGGTATACATTGCAACTGAACCTAACAGATTTAACCATACTTAAGTTTTGCAAATAGAAATCAGATGCAGCTTAAGAGAGATTGCAAGCCACAAGAAAGGGTGTACCTTGCAACCACTTCTCTCCGTGAAAAATGCAGGAAACTCGTTGGTCTTGTAAGTGGCAACACAAACACCCTGAGTTTCCTGTATTTTTAAAACTTATATGAACATCTGAAGTTGAATTGCTTCCAGCGATATATGGGTAAAAAAATAAGTGATATATACCAAATATTCTAGGGTTCTGGGAATATCTAATATGGATTTTACTCCAGCAGAGATAACTGCTACTGGAGTCCTGCCAAGCTCTGTAAGATCAGAAGATATATCCATTGCTGCCAAGAAAATATGAGAAAAATGTATATCAATTCCTGCAATCAAATACAGAAAGGTTTCCCTCTTCTTCAGATAAAAAAAAAAAAAAGTTCACTCATACGATCAGCAATGGGTTAGTAGTTGATGTGTGTTCTAAACACCACATGATCACGAAGAACTAGTCAAAAGCATTGGATGCTCCCACTACATTATACTTCTATTAATGCTTGACTGACCACATCATTGTATTCCATGATACAGATGGAAGCTAGAGTATTGAACTTACTCTCCTCGCTGTGTCTATGTACTCCCCCAATTCCCCCAGTAACAAAAACATGGATACCAACCTGTATGAGTTAACAAGTAAAGCCCACATTAAGAACACATTTGAAGCAAACACCAAATGCTGTTTATTTGCAGCACAAAGCATTAGAATTTAAAACAGAGAGATCACCATGGAAGCAAAAAACATGGTTGCTGAAACAGTAGTAGCACCATTCCCCCTAGTAGCCACCTAAAATAAAACCAAAAATAAGAATATAAAGTTAGCTGCAACACTTGACAAGCTATCAAATTTTACTGGTTTAAGGATTCCACATGTCAAACAAGGAGTAGGAGAGAAAATGCGCACAGGAATTACCCAAGTTCCAAAATCATATAACTCTTACTTGTGCTCAAAGTCGTCATATGCAGTTACTCCGAGACTCAACTTTTTAGTTGACCAATTATCAGTTAACTAATTCTTAGCAATCAAAATTCAATACATAAAGTCAATAAGAAATTAATTTACACCAACCTGCATAGGCTCAACTTCTTTGTCATGAGACCTACCTTGATCAACAAACAAGGTGCAACCAAAAGTTGTTTGTAGCACTATTGATCTGGCACATTGATACCAGATCAAAACACTCCCTCAAGTGCATAATAACAATAATAAGAGAAGGAACTACTCAAACCTACACTGTGGTTCCTTTATATATGTGAATTACAAGGAAAAAAAAATGTATTCACAGAGTGAGTAATAGTCAAAGCTACTCACAACATGTGCGATGTCCCTCCGAGCAGTCTTTTGTGCTTTAGTTCCAAGAGTAGCAAGTCTCTCTAGTTCTCCCATACTCAAACCTAAACACATAAAGAGCTTCGCAACGTGAGAAAATTACTGTTAAAAAAAGAGTGGTTATCTTAAGGGCAATGCAACTTCATATCTTCTATAATTGCAGCAAAAAGGCCAGGTGAAACATGGGAAAAAGGCATATCAAACCCCTTTCAATCCCAGTCTCAACCAATGCAAGCACAACAAAGAGCCTAATAAAGCTGTGAAGAGTTCATTATATCTCCTTGTGAGTTAAACTAAATCAAATGCATAAGCATAACATTCAGTAGTTGAAACATAGAGCCAAAAAGCATCAACATAAACACTAATTATTCTCTTTTTTTTTTTAATGCAGAAATAAAGTTCTTATTGATTCCGTGACAAGAATTTATTCTTTTGAAGTTTACACCCCTAAAGTTTGCCAATCCATGCTCTAATTTTGCAGAATTGGTTAATATGCACAAGCTCTAATTCCTAAAAGGTCTTAAATAATTTAACAAGTATCGATAAATAACTGGTTCATGAAACCATCTTCCTCAGGATCCAGCTGCCAGAAAAGGCATGAGACATACCCAGAAAATGTCCCTAGATTAATCTAATTACTAAAATATTTTGAGTCCATTCAATGATTTCACATATTTTGTTGTTATTCACTACATAATGAACATCTGGCATGGATATCAGAGTATTCAAAAATAAATGGAAAGATTTCTCCATATAATTCATACGTTGCAAATCGTTTAACTTTCACCAAGTCAAGATCATTGACTGCAATGACCAAGTGGACCTTACCTTCTCAGTAAGTCGTAACATGCATAGGCTGCTACTCTTCCAAATGTACATAGATGCATACAAAATGAAAGAAGAGAGCTAAACATAAATACCTACGCAAGCTACACCATCCAAAATTGCAATGGTAGCAGGAACTGCTCCATTCTCCCTCACAATTGCCTCCACCTCCTTTGCTGTTTCCAAATTTTTAGGATATGGCATCCCTGTACATAACTTAAAAGCATAAGAAGCCATGCACGCAATAGCAATACAGATGAATGTAAAAAACCTGAAAATATTCTCTTTCACGCAATACGACTGACTTTGAACTTAAACTATGTGCTTAATTCAAATGAAAATAAATTACATGCCCAAAATTAGTAAACGGGTTTAGGGAGTGAAAAAATAGAGAAAGAAAGAAAGAGGAATAGGAGTAGGAATACCATGAGAAATAATGGTGGATTCTAAAGCAACAACAGGATTCCCAGATGACAAAGCTTCAGCAACCTCTGGAGATAGCTTCACCAACCTTTCTTGAATCTGATAAAAATAAATAAATAAAATCAGAGCCAAAAAAAAAAAAGCAATAAGAAAGTGATGTGATAATGAATTTGCCTTGAAGTTTGAATGTGGAGGGTGCAGGTGCCTCTGTAAATTTGATAATCTTGACAAAGCTGATGATGAAGGCTGCATTTTTGTTCTTTTTTTTTTTTTTCTTTTCAAGAGCTTGAGGGAGGAGTTTACCGGTTGCTTCTGCTGAAGTTCAAAATAAGGTAACTAGGGAAAATTCCAAAACGCCACATCCTCTTCTAAGCGAGTAAATTATAAATTAGTCCCTCTAGTTTTACAAAATAAATTAATTAGTTCTTGTTATTTAAAAAAACTAATTATTTATCCCTGTACTCTTAATTTAATATTACTTTATTCTTAAAAAATGTCTTTTTTCTTATCATTTTTTTTATAATATATATTTATAAAGATAAAATAAATTAGAAAAGAATAAAATGGATAAAAATAATCAATTATTTAGTTTGTGAAACACTAGGGACTAATTAATCAATGTTTTAAAACTATAGTGACTAATTTATAATTTACTGTCTTTTACCTAATACAGCATCTTTTCTTTGCCTTAATTTCATGTACGACAATATATTAATTTTTAGCTTCATCTTTTTAATCTTCCTTTTTATTTAATTTTATTGGTTTAAAATGTTTCTAATTCATGGTTTAACCGAAGTTTTATAAATTTTTCCATCACTTAGAAGCGAATCAAACAAGGAATCAATGAAATTCTATTATTATGTGTATATATGGCCACGATTCACTCGGTGTTACTAAACTAAAATAATATAATCATTATTATTGATTATCGTTTTTGTTAAAATCAAAACAATCAACTGTTTTTCTTAATTAATTATGCAGAAATTTAAATAAGTTGAAAATTTTATTGATAATTGAATTAATTTCCATCGATTCATGAAGATTTTATATAATCGAGACAAATAGGAAAATAAATTTAAAAAATTATACTTTTTCCGTCCTAAAAAAAATCATTGTCTTTAATTTTTTATATATTTTAAAAAGTTATTAATTTTTATAATATTTCAATATATTTTTTGTTTATACTTTTCCATTTTTTTTAAGATAGAGATAGTCTAAGTGTAGTTATAATTTATAAGAAATGCAAACGAGTACGAATATCACCTCTTTCATATCTACCCAAATTATTTTTTGTTTACTTAATGCTAAATTTAGATTTTATAAACCTTTTTTCTTTTAATTTTGATAAATTATAATAACCTTCTAAGTTCCAAGTTATCTTAAAATTATAAAGACCTCTAAAAGTTTGAATAATTGGCATAAACATCCATTTATATGTAAAATATTTTTAATTAATATTTAGAAATAAAATAGTTAAATTAATAAACTTTAAAAATTAGAGAAATAATATCGGAAAAGAAACTCAAAATAAAATTGATATAAGTTAAATAGTGAAATTAATATTTTTCATAGACTAAAAAATAATTATAATTTTTATCTAACTTTTTAATTTTTTTTAATTTGAATAATTTTTAAATGGGGTTCAAAATAGGGTTTTTTATAATATTTTTTAAAAAATAAATAAGATTTTTGTTAAATCTTGAAACTTTTGGATGGTCTTTATACATACCGCCATAGAGACAAGTAGTGTGATTTTTTTTTTCCCTTTCTTTCCTTTTCTTCTCGTTCTTTGAAGAAGAGACCCAAATTAAAATTAACAAAATTTATCATGATAAAATGAATAAATATTTATTGCTAGCTCCTTGTTCTCCACACAAGCGGCTTTGTGAGGTTAACAAGAAGCGTTTGTATTTATTATCAAGAGAGAGAGAGAGAGAGAGAGAGAGAGAGAGAAGCATTTGTATTTCGGCCATTCATTATGGTGAAGAAAAGAAAAAAACACCAGCTTTTTACTCAAAATTGTAAACAACACAGGACATTCTTGTAAGTAAATTAATGCTGCTGAAAACATAACAACCACAAAATCCAAGCGTTTTCCTCTTCCTGCGAACTCTGCCAGTTCCTGTTTTCATGGCTTGCAGCCTCTCTTTCACTGCCATCACTGACTTTCCACTTACACTTGAAAAATTCACAAACCATCCACAAAGAATCTATCCTTTTCCTTTTCTACCACTTCATACCTCTTCTGGGTACGGCTCTTTTAAGTGCTTTGCGAACTCTAGAAGAAAAACAACATCACCATTAGTTGTTCATGCAGTGAAGGAAGAAGTGATTGGTCAGTCACCAATTTCAGAGGCTACCCTTGATTCTAAATCCATCTCTCCATCTTCCTCCAAGCTTGTTCTCGTCGTTGGTGGCACTGGTGGTGTTGGTAGGCTCTCCTACACTTTCTTGTTCCAACTTTTGCTTACTTACAAACAGTACTTAGTGCATTGATGTGCTTTAGAGTAATGTTATTTATGAGTTAACAATTTGTGGCCTTGTTTTTCAATGAGATTGTGGGTGTGAGTAAATTTAGCTGTTTATGGTATACCAGCATTTTGTAATTTCATGAAATGATTAATGTCCGAACTAGAAATGCTGGTGGTATATGTTATATATTGAATGGTTGTTGCTAGCTATAGTTATGTTATATAAGATTGCTCACATTGGTACTGTGTTGTTAATATAATGCATTTGTTCCTCATATGGTTGTTTGGTGCTGTGATAATGCTTGTGCTAAGGGATATTAATCAGTCATGGAATTGAGAGGAAAAGAAAAGGAAGTGAAACTGAACTTCCTCATTAATTAAATTTCTCTTGTTTTGTTGTATGAAAGGAAAACGAAGGTAAAGTTATAAATTGTATCTTTTACCTTACGTTCTTAAATTAATATGCAGTTTTGTTGTATCTCTTGGCGTATGTCAGAAAATAAAGCAAGATTTTGCATTTGCTTTGACAAGTGAGGAAGTTTTTGGTGATACAATAGGAAACTTGGAACCTGACTTAATTAGTTCCTTTTTCCTTCTCTTCCTTCTTTCCCTTCCTCATTTTAACACACAAACTAAAAATTAAACTTCCTTTATTTTATATCCTTTACTTTTCTTCCACTTGCATCAATAAAAGTCATGTTTGCTAGGAATCTAGTTATTGTTTTCCATTGTGCAGGGTATCTGTCATCTTCAGGACACTATGTTAACATGCACGTTTTACCACAGGCATTGAATTTGTGAGGGGTTATGTTGTGCAGTTGTCAGGGGAATTTAACCTACTAGTTAATTGATGCCATTGCAAACACATGGTTGTGGCCAAGCCTTTGAACATTATATGATGAAACAAAGGGGTAAAACGTGGGTCACATTTAGGATACATAAAAGTAGATTACAGGGCATAATGTAACTACAAAGCTGAGGAAGGGTGGATGACTACAGATAGTCTCCTTACTACTTTAAAAACAGGAAACAGTGTAACTGTTACACATTTCCCATTCTTTTATCATGGCAGGAACGCCTTAGTTCTTGTTAAGCTCCGAATAATCAATAATGCAGTTCTTGTGATTGCTTCTTTGGTTACATTTTACTCTTAGATAGTTCACTAAGGTTTTTTCTACATTAAATGTTAGAATGTTGCTCCCTTTTCAGGGCAGCTAGTAGTGGCATCATTGCTGAACCGTAATATTAAATCACGCTTGTTACTACGAGGTCCTGAGAAAGCAATTGAACTGTTTGGTGAACAAGATGAGGAGATGCTGCAGGTGCCTATCTTCTCTGCTGATCGATCATTCTTTCCCTTTCATTGCCACAGTATACCATTTTCTTTAGCATTCTGGTGCATACAAATTCCTTGCTTCAAGCTTGTTTTCTTTCCCTAGGATGTAAAACTTGATCATAAAGAGTTGTTAAAACTTTCTAGGTATTTAAAGGAGACACTCGGAACCCGGAGGATCTAGATCCATCTTTGTTTGAGGTTTGTGTTCATCTACCTGTATATTCTTTCTCATATTTCTGGATGATACCAAAACTACTTGGCTAGTTTATAAGTCTAGTTGTTAATGTTTCCTAAATTTATACTATAGGGAGTCACACATGTGATCTGCTGCACTGGAACAACAGCTTTTCCTTCAAAGCGATGGGATGGAGATAATACACCAGAAAGAACAGGTCAGAAGTTTACTTTTTAGCTAAAATTCTTATATGTTGAAAGTGTTTAACTTTCTTATTCCTTCAACTCAAGAAAATACATACACAAACGCACACTAGCAGACAGAATAAGTTTATGCCCTAAATGCCATTGACTATGTTGTTTTTTTCTGAAGATTGGGAGGGTGTAAGGAATCTTGTTTCTGCATTGCCTTCAACACTGAAAAGAATTGTTCTTGTTTCATCAGTTGGTGTAACCAAATTCAACGAACTACCATGGAGGTGAGACTGAGTTGTATTTGCAGTGGACCCACAGTTTCATTGTGTTTGAAATCAATAGAACATAGAGTGGAACACGTTAAGCAAGAAATTCAGTAGACATATCCTTTTTTATTATCTGTCTAGAAATACTTAATTGTAGCAGGAACAGTTTAGCTATAGTTACTAGCTATTCGGCTAATTGAATCTTGCTCCTTATAAAGTTAAACATGTCTGGGTGGTCGGGTTTTCACCCATGCATAAGAGAGAGAACGAGAGGAATGTAAAGGCATTTAGCTTCTAAACTTTTACTTGACCAAAAGCAGCCTTTTGTTTCTAGCCTTGCAATGTCTTGGGAGACTTTATAGGCCATCATATTTGAATAACTGTAGGATTCATCTATTCTTCGATCTTTGGAGATGTTTGAGATGCTGCTTACAGTGGATATTGAACAACTGAAATTCTTTTTCGTGTAGAACAAATGAAACATCTGCTACCATGCTTTGTCTTGGATTAGATTCATTTGTTTCATATTGTCTTCTTGCAGCATTATGAATCTTTTTGGTGTTCTCAAGTATAAGAAAATGGGGGAAGATTTTGTTCGCAATTCCGGTCTCCCTTTTACCATAATCAGGTTTGGTCATGCTTTACCCGCTTGATGTTGGAAAATTATAGATTTATTCTAGAAACTACAAAAGAATTTTTATTTGCAGCGGGCATCTATATGCTCTTTCATATATGTTTACATTATTTGTTTATTAGACCTGGGAGATTAACAGATGGACCTTACACATCATATGATCTAAATACCTTGCTCCAAGCTACTGCTGGTAATAGGCGTGCAGTTGTCATTGGTCAAGGTATGCAATCTTGTTATGTTTTTAACATGTTGACTTGACCCATGGAGGTTGAGTTTTCTGCTCGTCGTTTGGATTACAAAAACTTAGCATATATTTGAATTTTAGACAGGAAATAAATTTAAATGATACAGATTTCTATGCCTCTAGGATGGTCTGAGAAGTTGATTTCTAAAATTGAAGCAGGAAGTGATAATAATTTGTGAAATCACTATTGAACTATCACCCACTGGTCATTGAGGCACATGTTTTACTTTCTGTTGAATAAGGTACTATCAGGAAGGGGATTCTGGTGTCCAGTGTCATTGCTATCTTGGGATTTTCTTTTTATAGTTCATTTGGGATGTGAAGTGTGCAGCTTGGAATTTTACATGTTTTTGCAACAATGATGTTATCATAAAATTACATTCCTTAGGGTTAACTAAACATAATACTATAATTTGTTTATAGGAGTTCAAGGATAATGCTATTGGCTGATATGCATCAACACTATCTGGTTTGCTTATTTCTTTAGTGTTTTTTCTTGACCATTTCCCAATGATAAAAAGCCATTCTTTTTTCATCGTATCATTTTGGTATTTTTGAAAAAAGGCTGGTGCCTTGGTTTTCTCAAGTTTCATCATGAAATAGATAATACAGAATTCTTTTGAAATTGATCTGTTTGGATACAATTATGCCAATCTTCCCATGCTACGTTGAAAGTGGCAATAATTCTTATGCCTTGTATGCCATGCTTGCATCCCACAGTTCTAATATTTTTCCTCTCTCTTTCGCATGTTTTTTTCTTTTTATTGAATATCTATTTGGGTTCGCAGGAGATAAGCTTGTTGGAGAGGTTAGCAGAATTGTAGTAGCCGAAGCTTGCATTCAGGCATTGGACATAGATTTTACCGAAGGCGAAATTTATGAAATCAACTCAGTTGAGGTGTGTTTGTAATGAAAATCAAATAATACTTTATCTTTATTATATAAAAGTACATGTGCACCCATGTTTTATCATAGGAGTCATGCCTACTGAAAAGACTTGTTTGAGAAATTGATGTCTGGCTCCGTGACTTCTATGGAACATCAGAATACTAGTTTGACAGAAGTTTCAGTCCAAATTGTTTTCCCTTTTTGGTGTCCATAGAACCCATTGTTGATTTATGATTTTGATGAAGTGCATACTGGGTTTTTTTATTGCTACACAAAATGAGTACAAGGACCTTATAATAGAAATTTTCATTTTTCTCCTACTAATTGAACTTTAAGGTAAGTGATTTGACCTTAATCCTGTGGGTGAATGTATGATGCCACACTTTATAACCCAATCACCTAGTCTGTGATATCATTCAATTACTAAACTTTGGCTAACTGGACAAGATATGATTGTTTCCACTCCATTTATGTGTTTTCCTGCAGTTCTTTCCAAATTATCCATGTTGCCATATTGTTGCCTGGTTATCTTTAGAACTATTTCTTGTGAGCACATCATTTGATGAATTGCTTCATTATGCTGAACTGAAGTTATTACTTGTACAGGGAGAAGGTCCTGGATGTGATCCGCAGAAGTGGAAAGAGCTATTCAAAAATGCTCGATCACAATAGTGTCCTAAAATGAGAAATGTATAGTGAAATATGCAATCTATAAATTGTGTACAGTGGAATCCCAATGAGTTTCAGAACTTGCATAGCAGTTTTCTTCTTCTCTTATTTTTTTCATTTTTTCTTTTAACAATTAAAGACATGCATATGCACAATCTTGTGAGCAGAGAAGATTGAATCACTACTTTGTTATAATAAATGTTAATGGAAAGCTGGTAAATTCATTTTTTATAACTGGGGAAATACATAATGTTTATGTAAGGGTTAAATGTATTTTCTTCCTTTCTCAAATTCGTCTCTCTCATTCTTTCAGTTTGGTTGGAAGTGTGTTATATCAAGATTCCCACAGATTCCACTTACACGTGAATCTAATCAAACGAAAATCTAATTCTTAAAATAACTTATATTTCAGCCAAAAAAATGCGGGGAAAACCATTCCCAGAAATGCTTGGCCAAATAAATATTATTAGGATTTAATGTATATTTATCCATAGAAACGCCTAACCAAAGACGAAATTATTTACAGCAATGTAATCTAAAGAAAAAATAAGCATCAAACTAGAAAATGGGATGTTTCCCCTGAATTTGGAGATTTATCCTAATTTGCTTGTCCCTTCTTTCCATCAAATTCATCCCCATTAGTGCCATCTCCTACTATTTTCTTCCAGTACCAATGGTTTTGAAAGAGAAGATATACCTCCTCTATTGGAACTTGCTTTGTTTCTGGTAGGAGAAAGAAGATGAAGCTGCCCATGATGGCAACCAAGCCAGCAAATAACAAGAAAATCCCATAACGAAGATGGCAGAGAGACACGAGAAAGCATTGTGCTATCAAAGCTGTGAAGATCATGTTGACACAGACCACAACACTTTGGCCAGCAGACCTTGTCTCCAATGGAAAGAGCTCGCTTGGAACTAACCACCCTAGAGGACCCCAAGACCTTCCATAAGCAAAGCAAAACAAGCAAATGATAATGACTAGGAACACGCTGACTGCTTTCGGGAGATTTACTCCTTGTCCAAACTTCACCGCCAAAGTTATAGCCAAAGCCACCTGCAGATTAAGCAATTGAGTTAGTATTCAAGCCCTAGAAATATGCTGAAGATTTAAATGAGCCTTGACTTGTTCGGTTGCAGTACTTACCATGTAGCAGAACATTTCAATACTAGCTTCAATGAAGAAAGTTCTTCTGCCGAATTTGTCTACTAATGCCATTGAAGTGAGAGCGCCGACAACAAGTGCCCCACTAGTAATGACAGATGAATAAAGAGATGTTCCTGCCCCAAAACCCAAGCTTTGGAAGAAAACAGGAGCATAGAAGAGTATAGAATTCATTCCAGTGAGCTGTTGAAACATTGGGATTCCCAGAGCGCCTATTATCAATTGGGGCCGATTCCTCCGCTTCAAAAGATTCCTGAAAGGGTTCTTTATTGCTTTTGCTTCATTACTTGCATCAATAAGATCAGCAAACTCAGCTTCAACATTCGTTGTACCTCTAACTTTCTCCAATATTCTTCTTCCTTCTTCCAACTTTCCTTGTTCTACAAGGCTGTTGGGAGTCTCAGGAAGGAAAATAGCGCCTACACCCATTAAAATTGCAGGGATTGTCGCTGAACCAAGAGATAGCCTCCAGCCCCATGGATGGATTTTTTCAGTTCCGTAATTTACAAGATTTGCTATTAGGATCCCTAAGCAGGTTGTGAGTTGAAACAGCTGGTTATATCGCCCACGAGAATTTGCAGGAGACATTTCTGACAGATACAAGGGAACTGCCTGTACCATTAGAACAAAAATGCTGTAAGCAAATTAGGAGGCAAGTTATGGTACTTTTGGCCTAGGGAGCATTAAGCATACCTGGTTGCTGAATCCAATGCCTACACCGAGAAGTAATCTTCCTATGATCAGCATTGCAATATTCACTGCAAATGCATTGATAACAGCTCCAATAAAGAAGCTTAATGATCCACAAAGTATGCTTGCTCTCCTGCCTTTATTTCTGGTCATGAAGGATGCGGCAAATGTGAAAACAAGGGCCCCAAAGTACAATGAAGATGTAAATAGAGTAAGTATCTGGTTGTCATATTTGCAGTAATCTGTCTCGTGGAGATGCTGCTGCTTCCTATCATACACTTTCGGGAAGAATTTCTTTAAGAAATCATCCATGGAAGTCACTCCACCTGAAACCAATTTTCATGTTAATCTATCCTTTTCTTTGACAACATGTGTATGCTTTGTTAATTTTAACATGATAAGTTACCTATAAACGAAGCCTGTTCTTAGTCAAGGCTTCCCTATTATTGGAGGTTGTTTTACAGAACAAAATCAGAGTGACGCTGAGGCAATCAGTTGGGGTCCAACCTATATTCTGATCTCTAAATATTAATTTCTATGATCTTGAGAGAGGACCATGCAAGTATTCTAATCAAAATGAAAAACACATGCACTAATAACATCGATTAATTTGCTGTTTCATTAGTTCAATGTCTGCAAAAAATTTGTTTAACAAGAAAGTCTTAACATAATATCAAATTTTCTGTGCAACTCTGCCACAGGAACCATTATTGCCTCTTTCTATTCCCTTACAATCATCAAATTTCCGAAAAAAGAAAAATCAAATGATGGGCTAATTTGCGGTCGCCTTTTATTAGAAAGCTATGCAGAATGTGCCTACAATCCAACTTGTCTTCAACAACTATTTCGTTACTGATCTTACTATACAGATCATAATAATTTCAAGACATTCTAAAGTGAAGATGCTCGTGTTTAATAAGAGAAATGACATCTAACTAATGTTAGACAGAAATTTAATGACCCATATGTATAAAAAGTATCCATACATGTAAAAGAGAAGATGAAGATTGATCAAGGACCAAAATAAGTCAAGGAGATACTCACCAGACACACCAAGATCATACCCAAAAAGGGATCCTCCCATTGCCGCAATAAGGCAAGCAATTATAAAATAACCAGTAGTTTTATGCTCATAGAGATGAGCCCTCTTTAGTGTTGCTCCATCTTCAAACGCCCCTCCTGCCATTTCTTTCCCTCTATAGTTGTCTCTCTCCCTTCTTCAAGTGTATCAACGCAGAGAGTACACTGGCTGGAACTCACAGGCTTGTATATATATACACATATAGAGAGAAAATCAAGGATATCTGTTGCAAGCGAATTCAAAGTCAACCATTGAGGTGTTTGTGTAAATCAATATTCTACCAATACTCAAATCAATCTAATAATAAGATTTGTATGGTACTGAAAAAAAAGAGAGTTTTCTTTTGCTTTGTACGTGTATAAAACAAAGTCTAAAATAATAATACACTGGACAAAGACTTTCATGGACTGTTGACAAGTTGATTTATTTAATGTACATATTAATTAAATATACGAATGAGGAGATATTTTCTCATTTTGTAACAGAGATGATGAAAATATTGCAAGATTATAGCAAAACATTAAACGTGAGATGAGTGAGGGTTAGTTGGAATAGAACTTTAAACCATACAAATTTTAAGATATGGATAACGGAAAGATTACCAATATTTTGACTAAATCTTCCCTATTCGATGACCAGATTTTCTTACTAGGATCACTAGTTGTTAAAATCATGCAACCTTATCCATGTTATTTTGGTTTTTGATTTAAACTAAGTAAATTACTCACTTGTCTGGTCAGAGTTTCTGATAGATTTAAATTACGTAGCTAGCAATAGCATCCACTTGCAGAGATGTTTTGGCTTATTGTTCTTCATAAATTATAGGGTCCATTTTTCTTCTTAAATGTCAATTTGCAGCTCTATATTCCATGCTCGTGTGAACAATTTGAGGCTAATAACGATACCCATGATAGACAATGGTGTGGTACAGTTAACAATGGGACCGGGCTGGATTAAATAATTCTCTGTCTGTCTAGATAATCTATTAGTCCTTCTCATCTAAAAAATTAGTGACGAGGAAAGGATTCAAATTTCAATGATTTCAACTAAAGTCGGAGTTCTGGATGTTTAAATGTCCAGTCCAATTGGTTGAAAATTCAAGCTTTCAGCTGTTATCTTGGCTTTTGTGAGTTCAAATTTTCAACACAGGATCAAGTTCACTGGGCTGGAGCTTATCTAGGGAATATGAAAATAAGATAATTGCAACTAGTCCGAAGAGAGCTGGTTCCAGTCAACTTAAAACTGGAAGGGGGTCGTTATTTTCACAGCAAAGTTAAAGGGCAATGCTATTTCGACCTTTGACTATGCATGAAGCCTGTCATGGTCCCAAAAGGGCATTTGACAGCTAGCCTCAATTTGAAGAACATCCAGTTGTAAAAAGGGCTCAACTAGCAGAGGAAACCAATAGTCTGTGCTGTGCGAAATTTGCCAGGGCAATAACAGGCAACAGCTGCTTGAGCCTTGATTTGATACGTATAGGCAGCAAGAAATAATTACGCCCTCTGAAACCAGGACATCAAGCAATGTATAAAGGCTAGCTGCCTTGCCTGGGATGAATTGATACTGTGTTACTGGATGAGAATGATTTTCAGAACTAACATCATGTAAAGCCAGTAGGCACAAAAAGGGCAGAAAGGGTTTGTGAAATCTGACAAAAAAACAAGAAACTCCGATAGCCATTCCAAAAATCTAACATGGGATTGAGATTTGAGATGCCAAAGCTCGGTGGAATCCAAATTAGAAAATTCTTAATTATATTTCCAAAACGCATGAACAGAAAAACGTGCAAAACAATTGGTTAGTTTATGTTTTGGTAAGATAATCATCTTTTACCAGCAACCTTCATGCTAATGCAACTGATTCAATTCCGGTGGAATAAATTTTGAAATCTAGAAGAAGTAAAAGTGAGTTTTCTAAAGAATCTTTAGGTCTTCTAGGTTGAATGCATTAATGGTCTATTTGTAATCTAATTTACAAATAAATAAAAAAATCTCGCTGAATGGTTTTTATCATAAAATTATTATGTGGTTGATATTTTTTAGGATAAATAATAAAAAAAACTGGAAAATAGATTAACCCTCAAAAAATTAAAAGCTATTCTAAAAACTATTTTTATCATAAAATTATTATGTGATTGATATTTTTTAGGATAAATAATAAAAAAACTGAAAAATAGATTAACCCTCAAAAAATTAAAAGCTATACGTTCATTCCACACACACACATATATATAATGAAAGTGAAAGGGATAAAAAAAATTTGATAGTGGGACTAAATGATTATATTTTTGTTATTTTCAACATGTGTGCTAATTAAATCACGCCTATTTACTTTGCCCATGATAGATTTAGACGAGAGAAAAAATGACCCACACACGAGAAAGAAACGTAGATCTCGATGCCTGAAAAATGTTGCAGAAGAAAAGTTGTAAAGTACTTGAACGGACAACATGCCATGCGAATAAAGAGAGCCGCAGAAGCGAAGCACCTTTTTCACTTTTTTGTTTTTTTTGGTTCCTTTTTTAAGAAAACGGTGAGGTAATGTTTAGAGTTTCCGTACTGAAAGCTTCACTTCGATGGACTTATGTTCTTCTTTACTAACCTCTTGCTTATCTTCTTCACTAATGAGACCTCAATTGCAAACCAGCAGCTTAATCACTAGTAGCATCACCACTAATTTCACTAGCAAGAAGTGTAAACCTCATCGTGTCTTGAAAGTCTCTGCAGGTTCCTTTTCTTATCAGAAGTTCATTCATTTTGCTCTCGATGAAACCAAACGCCACACCCTTTTGGTTCCTTCTCCTCTCCAGGTATTACTTCATTTTCTTGCTTCCCGTTTTTCCTTCTTGTGTTTATGGATTATATTGCTTGCATGCAGAAATGGGTTGCTTTTAGTTTTGTTTGAAATTCTTTATTGAGTTTGGGTTTTAGAGGGTTGGAAATGAAGTTGGGTTTTGCCGTTTGAATTATAAAGGAGCTTATGGTAGAGTTTTTGGTCTGTAACTTGGGAAATTGAGGAGATACCATGGAAATATTTATGTGATTTGCCATAATTTAGGCCATTTTGATTCTTGAAAGTCTGGCTTATGTATATCGTTATCGTACTTGCTTCATACTTTCTATCGGTCTAAATACTTAACAGTAAGGTCAGATGTGCATCTTCGTTGTTTCGTTTGTTTGGTTTCTAAGGGCTTAGAGACTCTTTCTTATTTCTTTTTAAACTTACTTTCTTTCTTATTTTATGCATCTTCCAATTTCGTTTAAAAAAAGGGAGTTAAACTTGAGCGAGGGATTGATTGTCTTTCTTTAGCTGCTTATAACAGAGTGATTGCTTAATATCTAAGCCAAAAGATGCCGTTTTGATTTGCTTGCATGTTTTTGCTATTGTCACTGTAATAGGCATTGCGCAATTATGGACTTTGATGATTATAAAGTTGGAAGTAGTTTCTCATCCGCTCTCCGGTTTTCTAGCAAGGGTTATACAACAATAGGACACTATTATCAAACAATTACCTCTAGAGTCTAGAATCCTTAGTTCTCTTTGTAAACTGTTTCAGATGACTGTGCCTCCTGGTTTCTGCAGAAGGAAAAACCTGTGGTTACTCTGTTTATTGATTGCTTATTGAGTAATCTATCAAATTCAAAGAAATTTGTTTATTATTGCTGCATACTGGATTTCAACAAACAAAATAACACTCTTTGTCAGCCGCAAAACAATGATTATTTTAAGTGTTATTTCAAGATTATATGCATGTATCACAAGAACTTTTTGAGACCAGGAAAAATATAGTTCCATGACCGCGATGGATGGAACAACAGAGCTTCAAATGCTTTCATTCCAAGCCCCCAAGATAAGATTCCTACGTAGTTTGAACATTGAAAATGAAGCAATGCAGGTACCATTCTCTTGTAACCTTGTTTTTTTTATGTGTTTTTGCTCTCGGGTGTTAGAAGGGGAAAAATCATGAGTTCATCTTGTTAATTTGAGTTTTATGGTCATGAGAATACATTTTACAGCCGATTTACTGATTGTCATTTATTTGGACTTTGTGTATATTCATATGCCTGCTGGCATAAAAACGTATCTCTTGTACTTGGAATTAATTATCACTACTATATGTGCTATGATTATAACATAACCTTCAAAAGAAAATAATTAAGCTTCTTCAGAATGCTATTAATATTTATTTAGGTTTATTCATCGTAAGGGATCAAGCCAGCATGAGTGCAACATGCTCTTGTCCTATTCATGTTAAATTCTTATTCTCATTCCCTACATTTTAGTTTCTCTCAACTCTCCCTATGATGCATGATCTGGTCATAAAGGAATTTGTACTTCAATGAGATTCAAAGTTTGCAAAAGTTATCAATGCTAGTTATATGCACATTGTCTAGCACCACAAAATGAAGTTCTTTGGCTGCCTGGAGACACAGAACATTTTTGTTTTCCTCTGTAATAACTGACCTCGGAAAACTTATGCAGATTTTGGATTTTGCTGTTTTTGCCAGACCTGAATTTGGTGTGCCCATATTTTGTGCCAATTTTTTCACCACTGCCTCCATAAACATCATTGTGTTGTAAGCTCTCTTCTCTTCCTTTCACTATGCTTTTCTAAACACGTTTTAATCTTCTTTCTATAAGCTGAAACTAATTACTGAAGCACTAAGGTTTCTGGAACTTCTAACCCATTGTAGGGACCTTAACCCCTTGCACAATGTCATTGACCAAAGAGGCTACAAGGAAAAGTACTTTGATAGATTAATTCCTTTAGGTCTCAAGTACAGCGAGGTAACTTCAATGCTTTCTCCGGGAACATCAAATAAATATGATCTATTTGTTTCTTGATCCAATCTAAAATTAATGGTATGGTGACTGAAAACAGATTTCATGCAGCTTTTTCCTTGGGGAGGAAAGCTCACAAGCGAGTCCTTGAAGTTTTTCTCACCGATCGTGATATGGACCAAGTTTCCTCCAAGTCAGGATAGATATGATGCTTTATATTCCGCCTTCACAGAGTACTACAAGGTGCTTAATGGCTTTGGCTACTGCTTTAAATTATGTTTATGCTACTGATGGGATTAAACCGGAATAGGAATGAGAATCCACATGGATTTGGTAGTCAGTATTTCAAAAAATATAGAATTCCAATTTGGACTGGTCAATTATTATTCTCCTTTTCTCCTTTAGGCATGGCTTGAACTGATTGACCAAGCACCAGAGGAGATAAATGCATCTCATGTTAAATGCAATAGTCAAGCGCAGCATAAGTATCTGACATGGAGAGCAGAAAAGGTGATTATTTGATGTCCTTTCCCCTTTTGATTTGTTCTTACCTTATTTCATGTGGTCCATCATTTCTGTCAGTGTCTTGTGATTAACTGTAGGACTTCTAAAAGCTTGGATGCTTGGAATTAATCATGGCATGTCTTCAGTGTTCTACTTTTCTTCCTTTAGAAAATGTTTTAAGATCTGTGACTGTAATTTGAGTTTCAAACAACTGGCCCGTGATAAGCTTTTTAAGCCCCTGCATTGAAGTTTTATTAGAGATGGTCATTTGAATTCTAGAAACGAAAAGGGTTGTAATTGAGCCAAATTGCCATTTAGATGAACTGGTGTATGAAATTTGGTTTTTTGAAAAGAAAATACTTTTCTTCTATATTATTTTAATTAGGCTCATGAATTTCATTTAAAAAGAAAATTGACTTTAAAAAATGGGTTTTATGCATATTGAGATCCAGTACAATTTGGATTTTTTTGATTGAGATTTTAAATTTTTTTTGTCTAATTTAAGAGTTCTACTCTTATGTTGTCGTTTCAAACCTTAGTCATTGACAGCTTGCCACATGTCACGTAAGCATAGGTGGCAAGTTCTAACAAATGACATCTTGTCACATCACCAATTCAACCACCCAATTTGAGCTCACCATGACACATGGCAAGCTGTCGTTGGTTAGAGTTTGTCACGTGTGCTTATGTGGTACATTAAGGTCTGAAACAACAACATAAGAGTAGAACTCTTAAATTAGACAAAAAAAAAAGCTTAAGGTCTCAATCAAAAAAAATTTCGAATCGTACAAGGTCTCGATATGTGCAAAACCTTTTAAGAAATAGATGCTTTCAAAAAACCAACTTTGAACATAAACTTGTTAGCATTAGGGCCCTATCCTCGTGCTTCTTTTCGGACTCTCAGAACTGACTAGGTATATTGGTACCTTCTGGGAGATATCTTCTATGGTGAAATTCTTGGATTAAAGTTGCTAGAGTTTGCCATTTATGTAGTGTAATTCCATAATTACAATGTTGAAGCAGATAAATACATGGCACCCATTCAATCTTCTCTCTTTTCTGGCCCTACATATTTGATTAATGCAAATTCTGGAAGCAGGATCCCGGCCATGGAATTCTTAAAAGGTTGATTGGAGAAAGGCTTGCAAAGGTATCATTCTCGACTTACCGAATATGCTTATGCATTGTTTGCCACTAGTTACTGATGCAATTCTTACTTCACGTCTAATCCATAGGACTTGGTTAGAAACTTCCTCTTCAATGGACTTGATGACCTAGGAAGTAAAGGATTTTTGGATTACTTTCCAGAATATCGCTGTGAGGATGGGTCTATAAATGAGAAGCGCAGCATCCTTGGAAGGTCTTTTGAAGATCGTCCCTGGAATGCCAGAGGAGAATTTGTCGGTGATGATATTGAGATCTAGTGTGTGATACCATATTGACGATTATCCTTCTCTGTTTTTCCTCATCCCCATGTCTTCATGTTTCACCTGCTCTCTAAATTTAGGAAATTTTGCATAACGTCTGTAATCTTCCTAAGAAAAATAAAAGCATCCCTTGGTATCATATTTTGTACTAAAAACATTGTATTTGTGTATTTACGAACCTTGCCTTATGTCAGATATATGTATATCATTAGGAAATTTTGCATGGTGTCTGTACTCTTCCTAAGAAAATAAACACATCCCTTGATATCACATTTTGAACTCAAATACCGTATGGGTATTTACGAAGTTTCCCTTTGGCCAGAAATAGATCAAAGGACAATTTATCTGCTAATATGTGTATCAATAAGGATTTCGGAGCGTAGAAAATGTTTGAGATTATTCTTCCTTTTTCTGCGTCCATTTTTGGCTATTTGATAATTGATAATAGCAAAATGTGCAGTGTTGTTGCCACTTGCCCTCCAGTCATCCTCACGACTATGCTGGTATGTCCAGCTGGCTCACGTTGAACCCTAAACAAGGGCATGGCACTTTCTGAAAATTGATACATGTAGAGAAGATAATAACAGATCTTCTAGCATAAGAGGCTCTTTCACTGTCCATTGAATGTCCAGATTCTCATGAGATCGTTATGGAAAATTCGACCAATTGAGATATGAGATTGAAGCAAGTTATAAATTTGGTGCCGAAAGTTCTTGGATTTCGATGAATATAGTGGTTTTCCAAATATTTGACTAACTCCAAGAAATCTATGTATGGGAATTAGGATTGCAAATTGATCGGATGTTGATTCGAATTTGACGCGAATTCGATAAAATTAAATAGACATGATAAATCCAAATTTGACTTAAATTCGATATAATTAAATGAACATGATAAATAATTTTTTTTATCCGAATTTATTAAATAAATTAAATTTTGATTTATTTTTATCCGATCTGATAATAATCTGATTCGAAATTAAAAATAATATTTTCATAGTAAATATAATATGTTTAAAATATTAAAATTTTAAATATGAAACTATGTTGAAATTTAGAGTTTATTTATTATAAAATTCAAATAACGCATATTCTTTTACACTAATGATTGTATTTTAAAAAAATCACATATAATTTTTTTTGCCATTTTCTTAATTCAATTTCATGAAAAAAAAATTATAAATTGACTTATATATCTTTTTAAGAGTTGATGTTATTATATTTATCATCATCTTATTTTTACTACCACATGGACCAAAAATAAAGATTTTTTATTTTTTATTTCTTTTAGTCTTATCATACTTCCTACCTAATTCAAGATAAACTTTTATTAAAATTATTTGATTTTGTGTTTTTAAATTGTGTAACATTTTGAATTTTTTTTTAAATTGATAGATGAAATATTATCTTAATATATTTTATTATACATATAGTTCAAATATATTTTATATTCAAACAATATATTAAATATAATAAGCATAAATTTTCTATAAAAAAAAACAAGTGATTAATCTGATGAAGCTCATAATCAAATCCATATCCATTAAGATCCGGATTCAAAAACACACTTTCAAAATTCAATTCGAATTCATAAAATTCAATCTGAAAATTGAATCCAGGTCTACTGTATAATCCTATTCAAATCCGATTCGTTGACAGTTCTACTAGTGATCAAAGAGGTTACTTTCTTCCTCGACTTACTTGGTCTAAAGTTTGAGGACAGCAACACCAGGCCATTGCCAATTCAAGCCTGATTCGTTGACAGTTCTACACGTGATCAAAGAGGTTACTTTCTTCCTCAAGTTACTTGGTCTAAATTTTGAGGACAGCAGCACCAGGCCATTGCCAATTCAAGCCTGATTCGTTGACAGTTCTACACGTGATTAAAGAGGTTATTTTCTTCCTTGACTTACTTGGCTAAATTTTGAGGACAGCACCACCGGGCCACTGCCAATCCAAGAAACATCGATGCTTTGTAAAAACATCTAAACATTGATGGTTAACTTCTCCAAGTTCTTGCCTGCTTTCTTTATTGGCAGTGTCAATAAGAAGTCTACACCAATCTGAAAGCAGATAGCGTCCACACTCTAGCATTAAAGAATTATGAGGTATAATGTCCCATGCTGCAGAGATGACCCTGCCAATTTTGGATAATCATAACACACAGTCTTATGCCGCATAGATGACTTTGCCACCTTTGGATACTCATAACACAGCAAGGTATCTCTTCCAAACCAGACGACCACCAAATACTTTTCAGCCATTCAGGCATTGCTTCTCAAGTCTTGGAAGATGGCATTCAGCCATGAATGATTTATTAGGCACCCCATTATTAAATTAACTAGGATATATTGGGATTCACATTCATCCAAAAGTCCCAAACAAATTTCTTGATGAGTTGACAAATGCAAAATTCTGAGTAACAAATCCTCGAACGGTGATTAAAAAATGTAAAATTTTTAGCTTCATGACGTAAAAAAGTACTTTTTTTTTTCCAAGGCTTTATGACGTAAAACCTATATTTTCCGCTTCTTCTTCCTTTTTTTTTTTTTTTTTGTACCCGCCGTAAATAAATACAGATAAACAGGTTAACTGAGTTGGAAAAGTTATTGCTACAAGTTAGCCTCTCTGTACCAGAGGAGAAAAACAGAGAACAAGGACAAATGCATTAATCCTTCAAGAATAAGCATCTGCAGAACCGTTTAAAAGCATTGAATTGCTTATCAAACTCTCCATGCCTTACGAAGTTATGATCCTCCTGACAGGCCAAGGTTATAGTCATGGGAATTCATTTCAACTTGCAGTTGGCAATCACACATTTACTTGTCCCCGCCTCCAAACATGCCCATCATGTCTTTTGCCGAACCCATTTGCTTCATTAAGTTTTGCAAGCCACCCATGCCACCAATCTGCTTCAGCATCTGTGGAGGGAGGACTTTGCTCATGTGCTGTGCATTCATATTTCTAGACAGTGCACTCATCTCACCCTTCTTCGGAATCTTAAGGCCCTTCATTTTGCTCCAGACCTTAGCAAGTCGCTTGTACTCTTCCAACATCTCCATTACATCTCTAATCGGACGGCCAGCACCCCGTGCTATCCTCATCATGCGTGACTCATTCATGAGCTTCGGATTTGAACTATCCAACTCTGCAAAGATCAGCTTAAAATGATCAGCTAAAATACCCAATAAATTCATGAAAGAAAGTGTGTTTTTGCATATCCAAGAGGAAATGCACCGCACTACATATGAAATGTGATGTGCCAGATAGCACTTACCTTCATTAGTCATTGAATCCATCATGGTCATGTATCGCTTAATCTTCGCCTGGCTTTCCTTTTCATGACCTTTTGGCATTAATTCAGCACTAAATCCAGGAAGCATTGAAAATACCTAAAAAAGGCAACCCGAACACTATTAAACTGAAGTCACAACTTAATAGGGAAGGGGAGAAAAGTAAAGGGAGAATACATAAAAAAATTTCAGTAGAGATGAAAAGAATAATATAAATACTCCCAAGATTTTATTTCCCAATTCATTTAATTATACAGTTCACCAAATAAATATTCACAGCTGTAAAATGCTAATTAGGGACAGGTTGTAAGCTGTCTATGTCTGCCATACTTTTTCACTTATCTTCACCTTCCTCTCTCATATGCATCACTGCCTTCCCTCACAATTCTATCATTTGCCATCTCTTTCGCCTTTTGAAGTATAATGTTAAAGCATGCTGGCAACAAATTAATTGGACCTGTATTGGAAACTAGGCAAACTAATGGAAAGGACCATATGAATCACTACTGTCGCTAAATCTGGTTTCTTGTGTTAGACTATCGTATCCAGCTGGGGTACAAATTGTATCATCTTGAGAACCATCTGTAATGAAACTAGGCAAACCAATGGAAAGGACCATATGAATCGATATTGTCACTAAATCTGGTTTCTTGTGTTACACTATCATATCCAGCTGGGGTACAGCTTGCATCATCATGAGAACCATCTGTGACCTATTAATTGCATAGCGGGTGATGAATCTCTTGTTTCCGTCTACTCCAATTCTCATATGCTAAATGTAAGAGAAAGTAAAATGGAAAAGTCGAATGGGCAAAAGGTAAGAGTTAGATGCAAGGGAACTTGTGACTTGTAAGACATAGGACTATAGCATCTAAGAGAGAGAAGCAAACAAGAGAGGGAAGCTAGAGTGAAAAGGTATTGCCATCTGATCAAAATTAATGTCTTACAGTTATGTGAACCGTTTTTTTAAGGGTGTATTCCAATTTTATATTATTAAAGTTAAATTGACAAAGGTGCAACTCAAACCTGAGACCTCACCCAACTTGCTTATGCAAGAGTACCAATGAGCTACAAGCTCAACGGTAAACCTTATACTTAATTCTTATAAATTATTTGTGATCCACACCTTATACTTAATTCTTATAAATTATTTGTGATCCACACCTTATACTTAATTCTTATAAATTATTTGTGATCCACAAAAGTTGAATTGTCCAATTGAATGAATTGGTTTTACCAGGTAACCTTTAGGACCATCCTAGGCAAGGAAATATTAATGTCACTTCTAGCTCTTAATTTGAAATTTTAAGAGCCAATTAATCACTCTTAACCATGAGCTTCTCTACTGGCATCAGTTCTTTCAAAATTAAATGAATTAAGTCTCCTAAAATATTCCTGTTGAAATTGCTATGTGGGGTAAAATCCTAACAAACTCTGACAAACAATCATAAGTATTCCTTAAATAAAATTCATAGAAACTTGTAAAGCATTTGCAGATAGTGATATCTTGGAAGAAACTCCGAATTAACAATATATTGAACTTTTCAAAATGTTTAGTTTAGCATAGAAAAAGCGATCCATTTTCCTGTGGTCTACGATACTTCCCAGAAAACTTACCAGTAACATGGAAATTCTGATCAAAAAGATATTTTTACCCTACCATACGCACACATTTAAGAACAATAGTTGAAATAGAATACTCTCTAACAAAGATCCAACGAAATAGGATAATGAATAGAGAACCTGTCCAATGGGACCCATTTTTAGTAGATTCTGGAATTGCTCATACATAATCCTTAAGGTAAAGTTCCCTTCTGACAGCTTTTGCAGAAGCTCAGGCTGTTGATCCATGGGAACAACCTCATGAATTTTGTCCATGAATCCAGACCAGTCACCCATGCCTAGTTGGAAGATCATAACAACGCAAACGCTATTAGAATAAAAAACATCATAAACTTCTGAGGTCTGAAGAACATCAAAGCAAAGGTGCCGACTGAAAGAAGGCAGGTAAATACCTAAGAGGCGACTAACAAAAGGTTTAACATCAAAGACTTCAAACTCATCCATATGCTCTCCAGTTCCAATAAAAATGACAGGACTCTTAGTTGCTGCAACGCTGCACATTTTATGTAACCACAAATCAATATACATGCTTAAACAAGAGGAAGTTTTGATACAATAGAACAACTGTTGGAATACTCACGCACTAAGCGCACCACCACCCTTTGCATGACCATCCATTTTGGTAACAATCACAGCTCCAACTGCAACACTTTGCTTAAATGCTTGAGCTTGATCAAATGCAGCTTGACCAATACTGCTATCCATAACAAATATAACAAGATCTGGTTTCTGGAAGACACAAAACGAAAATAAATCAGATTTGAATGCAGTAACAATCAATAAAAAAATAATAATAACACCTAAGCATGCAAAAACACTAATAAAAGAATAGCATACAGTTGCTTCAGAAACTTGACGCATTTCTTCAAAAAGTGCAGCTTCCTGTTTATGCCGTCCACTTGTATCAACAATTATAAGATCACAATTCTCCTTCTTAAATCTTTCCACACCTTCCACGGCAATTTTCACAGGATCCGATTCCATATAACTGTATCAGCAACAAGAAGTAAACAATTGATCAAATTGCAGAAAACACATTTTTTTATTCTCCTCCGCTTAAAATCACTAACCTTCCATAGAATGGAATTTTAGCTTTAGTTGCATTCTGCTTTAACTGATCGAAAGCACCAGCTCTAAATGTATCAGCGCAGACAAGAGCAGGTTTCCAGCCTTTTTTCTGATGATAATACGCATATTTTGTACACGTAGTCGTTTTTCCAGACCCTAAATAATTTAATAACATTAGATATTTCTTCTAAATTACTATCACAATCCAAAAACAAAAGATGGAATGAAAATTTTATTATTATCTAAAATAATTTAAGACAAATTACCTTGTAAACCTACAAACATAACAACACTAGGTTTCCCTTTCTTTGGAGTAAAAGAGGGCTTCCCTGGGTCCAAAATCTTGCACAACTCATTAAATATTGCCTAAAAAAATAAAATTCAATTCAGTAAAATTAAAATTGAAATAGAAGGAGGACAATCTTGTTTATTTTTTCAAGCATAATATTAATTACTTGTTGGATGATTCTGCGCTTGTTGTGACCGGCAGCAAGATCGTCGAGATTGACGATTTTCTTGATATTTGTTTGCATGTCGCGAACAAGTTTGAATTGGACATCGGCTTGAAGAAGAGCTCGAGTGATCTCGTTTAAGCAATCGTTTAATGCTTTCTCGTCGATGATTGTTGCATTGCTCATTTGCTGGATTGCTCGGGATATGCTCCCCCTAACTGTGCCAACACCATTTTTGCTTTCTTTTTTGAATTCCACGGGTTCAATTTGATTTTTGATCGAGAGAGAGGGATGGGATGGGATGGGATGGGATGAATTTGGGGATTAGGGTTTGTTTTTGGTGAATTTCAGATAATGAAGACGAGCGAGGAGTGCTTTTGTTCTGTTTTGGTTGATTTTTATATTTTTATTTCTGAAAAGACAAAGTTGTACATCAATATGTAAGTGAATTACGATAGAGATTATTTCCAGGTGTACGCACTTTTCAATTGTTTTTATTTAAGTATCTCTACTTTTATTTTTGTTATTTGAGTCTGCTAAGTGTCAGCATTCAAGCATTTTGGTAAGCTTTTTTTAATGAAGTGTTTACGTGAACTTAGAATCCATTAAATACAGGCTCACGTGACCATTGAACAAATAGGTAGACGACAAGAAAATTTGGCCGCGATTTGGAGTAAGTTATATGAGTTAGTCCCTTTAGTTTTAATAAATGAAATAAACAATCCTTTCTATTTTAAAAATAATTATTTAGTCCTTATATTTTTAAATTTTCTTTTAACTTATCTTTTCTTTTTGTTCTTCTTCAAATTATTTTTATTTTTTTGTTTTAAAAAATAGAAAAAATAAAAATTAAATAAAAATATGGAATAATTATTTGAAAACAATGATATTTTTATTAAAATAAAATAATAATAAATTAAGCGTAATCAATGCTTGGTTGTTAGATTAAATGATTAGTTTTGAAAACAAAAACAACTAATTTATTTATTTTTAAAAAATAAAAGGAGTAATTTATAATTTACATTGCAAGTTACTACGAGAATATTACTCACACTTGACATTTTGTTTGCTAAAAATAAATAGGCCAAAAGAATCTAACCATTTATGAACTTTAAGTTATTTGAATTTGAGTCTTTAAATTTTTTTATTGATTCTGGAAATCTCTAAACTTTAGAACTTTTGGAATTAAATTCGATCAATATTTTTTCGTCTAAAATAATAGAGTTGTGAATGTGAAATTCACACTACCGACTTTTCCACCCATTAAAAAACTCTCGCTCTCTCCTCTCTCTCTCTCTCTCTCTCTCTCTTGATAATCATGCAATAACACCAACTCATAGCCCTTAGTTCCAAAAATCCTCTATCTTATTCCCTATCTCAATCCAAACCTTCCCCTACCTCGCTCTACCAAAAATCTCCCCATCAAATTCTCTCAACTCAAATACTCTCTTCTCGTATCCATATAGCGAACCTTTGGGCATGGGTATTATCGATAATTAAATTGTTGCTCTAAGAAAAGGGTAAGAAAAATCAAAATACTAGTTAGGGTTAATTTTATAAAATTAAAACATGGATAAGGAATTGTCATCGGACACTTGTTTCATTGGATGTGCATCTTATCATAGCTAAATAAGATGAATACTTCCCTGTGTTGTAGATTCCAGCATCCCACTAAAGATACGTTTGGTGAGATTGAACGGTTATGGAGTGTTCGATCAAGATTGGTGATGGGACCTTAGTGGGAAGCACCTAATGGATGTCCATCGTGGTTGTGGCATAGATGTTGCAAAATCACAATAACTTATTGACCTACAATGAATTGCGAAGGCAATGAGGGAGGATAAGCATAAGAGACATCTACAACAACCTTTGAACAAGGATGATGAAAGTGAAGTTGCTAGGTAGTATAGGTGGTGGTGGTGCTTGGTAGTTTAGGTTTTGTTTTTTATGTAAGATTAGGTATAGATATGGCCATATACCATAGTCCAACTTATTAGAGATTGAATTGAGATTTTTATGTTTGACAACAAAGATTATTATAAGAAGGATAGCCAAAATTAGGAGGGCAAGAAAGAAGAAGAAACGGAAGAGACAACAATAACAACCTTTAAAGGATGTTAATTAAGATGATGTTATCAAGTAGTATAAGTGGTGGTAGTGGTGGTGATGATTTATGTTTTGGATTTGGTACTCGTGGTTTTTGTTTTGGTTTGAAGACGGTGCTTGTAATCGTAAACTTGTTATTTATGGGTTCTCGACATACCGAGGTTACTATTGGATGGCTTTTTTCGTTAACAATGTGACTTATAGATGCATATTTTCGTTATTTCGATCAAAAAATATTAGGTGGACTTGATTTTATAAATTCTAAAGTTTAAGAATCCCCAATAACCAATAAAAAAAAATGCAAGAACTCAATTTCAAATAATTTAAAATTCAAAATTAGTTAAACCCTTTTAGCCAAATAAATATTAAACATTTCTATTTTAAGTAATGAAACATAAGTTTGTGTAATATTAAAGTATTGAATCTTTATCTTATAAGTAATGAGTAAGTAAAGAGTAGAGTTTTGATATTTTCATAGATATGGATAACTCTATCTTATCATATATTATTATAATGTTTAATATATACTAAATAATTTTAGAATTACATATTTTAAATTAATAAAAAAAAATTGTTTGAAGTAATGACATGTATTATGAAAAAAATAATTTTTTAACACAAAAAAACTTAAAATAAAAAAGAAAATAACGAGTTTAAAAAAGATGAAGTGAGATGGTGAGACAAGCTCGCACACTAAGTTTGCACTAAATAACTTATCATTGTAAAATAAGGAAAAAAACAACAACAACGACTAACACATATATGGCCATGGACAACTCCGTTTAATAAATCGAGTGGATGATTAAAATGAAAAAAAAAACTATAATATAAGGTATCTTGTAATATTCAATAGAGATGAAATAATTTTCAAATTACACATTACGGATGTATATGATTTTGTACCTTACTTAAAGATATGTATATTTTTTAATATCTAGATATTATTTAGTTTATTTATTTTAAAATTTTTCTATGATTACAAATACTCCAAAAAAAAAACAAAAACTATTATGTGAAGTATATTTTATGCAATACATGTAAAATTAAGAAAATCATAAATAACCAAATATTTATTGTTACGAAAAAATAATGCTAAATCAATATGCGAATTTGATATCTTTATATACTTTACATTATCAAACCCAATAAAAATAAAATGTCATTTTTTTAGTTTTTTAATTGTTAAACATTGTATCGAGATTCTATGACAAAAAATATAGCCAAACTCTAACAATTTATATAAATTAAAGACTTAAAAATACATTATAGATAATTTTTGCAATTCAAAAGAAAAGTAAACGGTATTAAAGATGAATAAAAAAAATAAAAAAGAAAAGAAGAATAAACACTTCGATAGTTCTCACAAATAAGAATCCAATTAAGAAATTAGAACATATAAAGCCATCTTCATATCTTCACGCCAAGAGAATTATGATAGCGTACTCCACTATTTCTCTTTCTTGTAAAGTAGTTACTACTTAAGCCACATAAAATGTTTTTATAACTAATAGCTACATAAACATATATTAAATTTTAAAATTTAATTGAATAAATGTTATCAATGGTTAATTCACTTTGAGACGATTATTCCTTAGATACACAAGATACAAATTATATTTGTTCGAAAGTGCAAAATCTTATAGATACGATCCTCATTAGTGCATCTTTTTAGTTTTTAATAGTTTTTTTTATTATTTTCTAATAGTTAAAGACGCATAATAAATAAAATTATAAGAATATTTAATAAATATAAAGCAAGGAAAAAGCAAGTGAATGGGATAAGTGCGTGGTGAATGAAACATTTCATCGAGCCATTTCTCACTTCAACCCCCAAAACAGGAAAAAAGGTACTTTACAAACGGAAAATATGTCTTTGTTTGTCAAAGAAAAACTCTCCTTTAAGAAATTGTTATAATTTGCTTGATTTTAACACTCTTACGCTTTATAGAGATATAAGGTGCCATTTTTTAATTTTATTTTATAGTAGGATGCCCAAAATAATGAAAAAACAAAACAAAACCCAAAAAAAGGTCGGCTTGGTTCACACATCGGGACTTTGCTAATAAGTTGACACATGCTTAATGTAACTCTCGTGAACTTGCTTAACGTATCTATACGTACGAAAATAATTCTATCTACATCTACTAAGTTGCAATTATGATTTTTGTGTCATGTTTGTGTTTGGTGAGTTTAAGATGCTTGGGTTTTAAAAAAATTAATTTTGCCATACCAAAATTTAATTCTTGAGCCCAAATATCTCTTGAAATATCCATAATTATATGAACATAAATTATGTGTCATTTCTTTTATATTTGTGGTGTGAAAATATTTAAGGTTTATGGAATTGTTCATAGGAATGCTTTTTGAAAAAAATTAATTAACCATTATTTATTTTTTCATAATGTATATTTAAAATGATCATGCAAGTGAAAAATATGTCCCGCTTAAGAGTTATGGTCGAATTTTAGGAGCTAAATTAGGTTAGGAAATTGGTTAATTTAGTCACCTTTTAATTTTTCTCTTTAATTAGTGATGTGACATAAAAGCTTCCACCATACTTTCATTTGTACTTTCTCACTTAATTTTGAAAGGTTAAACACTTCAACTTACCTCTATTTTTGTCTCCATGAATTGACCTCGCTTACCATAAAAATTGGACACTTGGTGTATTAAACATAAAAGAAATAAAAAGGAAAAGTGTAGTATCAAAATTGGATGAAAAAATGAAACATTGTCGTTCCTTTTAGCTAAGAATTCGTGCCCTTCAAAAAGAGGAGAGAAAAACGTGAGTTTGAGAGAAAGAAAGGGGAAAGGGAAAGGAAATAAATGAAGGAGATAGAGAAGAAAAAGGCTAAGAAATCTTAACCAAACACATATCATCATAAGTAGGATTCTTTTGGTTTCATTTTAGTTTTATTTATGCCTTAAGTTCTCTTTTTCATGTTTGATTTATGGGTTTTTGTTTTAAGCCACATAATATGTGGTCATGATAGTTTGTGTTGATGTTAAAAATTTGATGTTTGGTGATGGATTTATGATGTTTTGATGATGATGGATTTACTTTAAATGTTGGATGTGTA